TGATGTTTCTAACTCTCTATCCTTCTCTCTTCCTCTCTGTGAAAAATCAATAAAATATATTAAAAAAATAAAATAAAATAAAAACGCAATAAAATACATTTAAAAAACTAAAAAATAAAGTCTTGGGAGACTTTACTTTTCAGACCCGGACTGCCTGGCTCCATCCTCCGGGGCTCTGGTGCCGGAGGCCCAGGGTAGGCCTGGACACCTCTCTCTTTTTCCTGTCCACAGGCCCCTTTGGCACGGAGCGGGCAGAGGGCACCACCCCCGCCTGGCACCCTCACTCAGGGCAGCCCCCCTGGAGGAAAGGAGCCATGGAGGTGGCCCCAGACAGAGCCAGATGGACCCCCGCTCTGTAGACACGTGACAGGGGACAGCCTCTCGCCACTCCGTCGCCGCCTCAACCAAGCGAGTTCGTAGCACCTGCGTCTCAGCATGGCTGTGAGCTGTGATCCAGCCAAGCCCAGGCACGTGGGTGATGCACGAAGCGTGTCTGTGGGGCGTGATTGGATCCTGGCCACCGTGGGCGCCACACACACACACACCCACACACACACACACCCCGAGGCACAGAAGCAGGAGCTGGGGTCAGACAGTGAGTGACAGGTAGGACATAGGACCTGGCAGGAGAGGGACCCCAACTCACGCTGTCCACACTCCAGAGGGTGTCCTGGGCCAGTGGTCGGCAAACCACGGCTCGAGAGCCACCTGCGGCTCTTTGGCCCCTTGAGTGTGGCTCTTCCACAAAATACCGCGCTCAGTGCAATTGAAACTTGCGACCCATGCGCAGAAGTCGGTTTTCGGCTCTCCAAAGAGATTTCAATCGTCCTGTTGCTATTTGGCTCTGTTGACTGATGAGTTTGCCGACAACCATCCCAGGAGGGATGGGGCTTCATAAGCGGTAAGGCTGGAGGGTCCCTGGCAGTAAGGGACCCCCAAATTAGGAGCTTCCCAGGAGGCGCCTGCTTCCTTCCCCCAGGCTCCAGCTCCAGCCGGACAGGAATAAAGGGATGCGGGGGGGCAAAGGGGGGCAGATTGACATCGCACCTCTGATTAGCACCCGCATGTCAGGGGGCTGCTGGAGGGGGCGGGGAATGAGGGTGCTGACGCTGGGAGATGGAGAGGGGGCAGCGCCCCAGACCCCGCTTGGCCTCAGAGACCGGCTGGTTCCTAGCAGGAAGGCCGAGGCCTATGGGGGTGCTGCCCTGTCCTGCCCCCCACCCCACCGAACTCTCACCTCTGCTCAGCGGGGCTGCCCCCAGACCTCATTTCCCAGCCTTACACTTTGGGGAGCGAGGGCAGGCTCGGGCAGGGGAGCGAGAGCCACCGGGCCAGGCACTTGTCAAAACACAGGCCCCCCCGAGGTGTGAAATCCTCACCCCAGCGGGGGGGCGTGTGGGCCCTGCCGCCCGGAGAACTCATTAACTCGGGCAGCGCCCAAATGAACCCACCAGAGCGGCTGGCTGGCGATAAGGAGATCAAAGGTGACAGGCATGGGGAAGGGAAGACGGGGGCTGGCCCCAGATTGGGGTCCCTCCTGTGCCCCCACTGGGCTCCATCAGGCCGACTGACCACAGTCTGGGCCCAGAGACCCCAGGGGCAGCAGGAGAGGGAGGGTCTCTCACGTGTCATCTCCAGTTTGTTAGCATTTAGGGCTGAAGACACTGTCTCTTTGTTGTTTTTTTAAAAAATATATATTTTATTGATTTTTTGCAAAGAGGAAGAGATAAAGTTAGAAACACCAATGAGAGAGAAACATCGATCAGCTGCCTCTTGCACACACCCCCACTGGAGATGTGCCCGCAACCAAGGTACATGCCCTTGACCGGAATCGAACCTGGGACCCTTTAGTCCGCAGGCCGACGCTCTATCCACTGAGCCAAACCGGTTTTAGCGACCCTGCCTCTTGCATGCCATTTTTGGGGGCTTCTTCGTCTCCACACTCACCCCTGGGTCTTTTTATTATTATTATTATTATTCTATAATAATAATCATTATTATTATTCTATAATAATTATCATTATTTATTATTATCATTCTATAGTTATAATTTACTAACAGAATAAGACTTCCACAAGTTACCATGTGTGAGTTTTCTGTGACTACATGTTTCTGTGTGCATATATGAATGAAGAACGGTTTGGAGAGTAGGACCAGGCCAAAACCGGTGTGGCTCAGTGGATGGAGCATCAGCCTGTGGACTGGAAGGTCCCAGGTTCGATTCCGGTCAAGGACATTTACCTTGGCTCTCTATCCCTCTTCCTTCCTCTCTGTAAAAAAAAAAAATCAATAAAGTAAAAATTAAAAAAAGAAAAAAAAAAAGTGGGACCATAGGTGTCACAACCATTTTAGAGAATGAGAAACTTAAACTTTAAAATATATATATATATATTTTTACTGATTTTAGAGAGGAAGGGAGAGGGAGAGAGACCTAGAAACATCAATGATGAGAGAGAATCATTGATCGGTTGCCTCCTGCGCGCCCCCAACTATGGACCGAGCCCCAAACCCGGGCATGTGCCCTTGACTGGAATCAAACCAGGGACCCTTCAGTCCATAGGCTGACGCTCTATCCATTGAGCCACACTGGCTAGGGCACCCCTGGGTCTTTTTAACCCTCCCTTGGCGCTGTAACAGAGACCCGCTTGTCACACAGCACTGGGGTACCCTCTCCGCTCCCCATCTCTCTGCGGCTCCTGTGTCAATGTCAGGTATTAGGTCCCCGATCTGAGATTCCTCAGGAGCCCGACCTGTGTTCTCAGGACAGTCTTGTCCAAGTACGGACAATTGATTTTGGACTCAGATAAAAATTCACTTCGAAGCATCATTGCCAACAAACCGGTGGCAATCACAACCATATGGGGACTGGAGGCATTTTTAATACTCAGGAGGTTGGCCACAGGTGCCCGGGCCCTCTGAGACCCACCACCCTCCTGCCTCTCAGCCTTTGCCCTGTCCCTCCCATGCTGGGCACAGCACACTCTGCCAGGGCCCAGCCACTTGTTCCCTCCCATCTAGCGGGGTAAAGGGGGGCCCAGTCACTGGGCTCCAATACCAGATTCTTGGCTTGAGTCTGGAGGCCCCAGAAGGCATCCATCAGCCAAAACTGGTTTGGCTCAGTAGATAGAGTGTTGTTCTGCGGACTGAAAGGACCCAGGTTCGATTCCAGTCAAGGGCATGTACATTGGTTGCGGGCACATCCCTGGTGGGGAGTGTGCAGGAGGCAGCTGATTGATGATTCTCTCTCATTGATGTTTCTGGTTCTCTCTCCCTCTCCCTTCCTCTCTGTAAAAAATCAATAAAATATATTTTAAAAAACAAACAGATCTCACTGTTAAAAGAGAGAGAGAGAGAGAGAAGGAGAGGGAGAGGGAGGAGGCATCCATCAGTCCAGGTCCAGGAGGGCAGACCCTGCTGACGGCTGCAGGCCGAGGGGCCAGGCTCTCCTTGGGAGTATATGGGGCCTGCCCTGTGCACCCAGGCAGGTTGGCACTGCCTTTCCTGGCTGTGACTGGGCACAAGCATTCTGAGACAGACTGCCAGCGTGGGTTACAGAAGCTGCCAGAGGACGTCACTGCATAGACAATAAAGACAAGGGGAGGGCAGCGGTGGGCTGAGAAGCCAGGGGAGATGGTACCAAGCTGCTTTCCTTGCTTTCCTGCCAGCTCACCCTCCGGTCCCCTGGGGCTGGAAGCCGTGGAGGATGCAAACAGTAGATCTTTCCTCAAAGACGTGAAGCCAGGCACCAGGAGCGGCCCAGTCTGAATGAAGCAGCTGTTAGGACGGGTGCTGACGCCAGCCCGAGCGGTCAGGTAGGCCATATATGATAGATAAATCCTCTGTGAGATCTCCTGTGTGACAGTCCTGTTGTCTGTAAATACAGACCATCTGTATGCCTTTCATTTTTTGTGTGTTTTTTTACAATAGATTTTTTTATTGATTTCAGAGAGGAAGGGAGAGGGAGAGAGAGAAACATCAGTGATGAGAGAGAATCATTGATCGGCTGCCTCCTGCACACCCCCTACTGGGGATCGAGCCGCAATCTGGGCATGTGCCCTTGACCAGAATCGAACCCAGGATGCTTCGGTCCGCAGGCCAAGGCTCTATCCACTGAGCAAACCCAGCTAGGGCTGTAGATGCCTTTTAGCCGGTTGAGAAAGTTCCCCTCTATGCCTCGTTTGCTGAGATGTTTTATTGTGACGGGTGTTGGGATTTATCAGTTGTCAGATGTTTTTTAATGTGTCATTTCCACGGCAAAGCTTGTCACACCTGCCCCAGAGTGACACCAGCCAGAGGGGACAACAGGCCAAACCCAGAGGCTGCCAGGCTAAGGGTGTCCTGCAGGGCCGCAGGCTCACCCCTCCCTCAGCCCAGATGGTCCAGCAACCTGACCAGATGCAGCCAGTTTGGGGCATCCAGACCGCCAGCCTTGGAGGAGGAATGGATTGCTGTTCCCCTCATCTCCAGCGGGAATCGGGGCCTCACTCCCAGGCCCTCGCTGGTGCAGACCTGGATGCAGCAGGCCCCTAGGGTCCCATTATACAAATCGGCAACAAAGGTGCAAGAAAATTCATTTCTTTGCATAAGGTCCCCAACAGGTGAAGACAGCCCGAGACCTAGGTCCTGGGCTTCAAGGCCTGTGATCCTGCTTCCTTTTCCCCGCTGGGCTGGCCCAACACCCAGGGCCGGGCGCAGGCAGGAGGCCCGAGGGGCAGGAGCTGGTGCCCTGCTATGGCTCAGGTGGGGCCAACCTGGTGCAGCCAAGCGGTCCGCACCTTCGTAGGCACCTTCGGTTCAAAGGTTCGGGCCCCGCCCCCCCGGGCCTCGAGCCGCTTTGAAGTGCTGATGGGGCCTAGAAGGGGCCACTTCACACCTCGGGCTCCGGATAGAGCGCTCGCCTCCGGGATAAAAAGGTCGCCGGCTGCCGGCCCTCCCGAGACCGCGCCGCTGCTGCTGCTGCTGTTGCTGCTGCTGCTGCTGCTGCCGCTGCCGCCGCCGCCATGGCCCAGCCCCTGTGCCCCGCGCTCTCCAAGCCCTGGATCTTCCCCGAGGACTGGAGCGCCGCTCAGCCTCCTCCGCCCGCCGATCGGGGCCGCTGCTGCTGCTCCCCGGCATCCTCCCCGAACTCCTGGGGCAGCGCCCCGGCCGGCAGCCCCGCGCCCAGCCCCCGGTGCCCCGGCGCCCGCACGGCCCCGCGCGGCCCTCGAGCCGGGAGGCGCGGCGGCCGCCTGGGCGGCGGGCAGCGGCAGAGCGCCAGCGAGCGCGAGAAGCTGCGCATGCGCACGCTCGCCCGCGCGCTGCACGAGCTGCGCCGCTTCCTGCCGCCGTCCGTGGCGCCCGCCGGCCAGAGCCTCACCAAGATCGAGACGCTGCGCCTGGCCATCCGCTACATCGCCCACCTGTCGGCCGTGCTGGGCCTCAGCGAGGACAGCCTGCGGCGGTGCCGGCGCCCGCGGCCCCGGAGCAGCAGCCGCAGCAGCAGCAGCAGCAGCGACGCAGCGGCCCTTCGTGGCTGCCCGCTCTGCCCCGACGGCGGCTCCGCGCAGGCGCAGGCGCTGACGCACGCGCATGCGCACGGCCTGGGCGCCGCCGCCCCCGCCGCGGGGTCCTGGGGGCCCGCGCCCGCCGGTCCTGCACCCGCGGTGGTGCCCGCGCCCTCGCTCCACGAGGAGGCAGCGCGCCCCGAAGGGCTTGTGGTGCAGCCGGGGCCCTCGTCTCCGGTTAGTATCTCCTGTCCCCGCCGTCGTGTGGGCGCCACTCGGTGTCCGCGCAGCCCGGCCTCCCCGATGGCTCTCCGGAGCCTCCAAGCCGGGCTGGAGGGCAGGGAGGGGACGCAGAGGGGCAGGGTCCCCTGAGGGTCACGCCGCCCCCTCTCCCCCCACAGCTCTTCCCTGGCCACGTGCTGGCCCAGCTGGAGGCCTGGATGCCCCCCTCGCCCCTGGAGTGGCCCCCCGGCCTGAGCAGTTGACGTGGCGGCGGACTGCGAGCACCGCGGTCTGTGCGGCACCTTCGGAGGGCGCCCAGTCCAGACCCCTCCCCCAGCGGAGGGCGGCGGCCAGGCTGGCAAGGGCATGCCTGCGGGTGAGAGCCTGACCCGCCCCGACGACCTTCCCCAACCCCTGCCGCGATGGGACCCGCAGAGCCCGCCTTGAGGCAGGCGGGAGGCTGTGCTTAGGGCATATTTATTTATTTGTGAATAAACTGTGCTGGTGTCAATTGGCAATTTCTTTCTTCGCGTGGATGCAAAGCTCCCGCCCTCTCCTCCAGAGCGGGTAGGAGAGCTGGGTTTCTTGCAATCTTCAGCGCCCCTCTCCCCCGCCCCCAGCACGTAGGTCCAGACCCTCCTTCCTTGCCCCCAGCACCTCCTCCTGTTCAGAGGATCGAGTCAGCTTCCAACTTGCAGGCGCTTCATCCGGGAAAGTGGCAGGAAATGGAGTCTGTCCATCTTTTCTTTGAACCTGGTGGGGTTGGGGGGGCTGGCATAAACCAAAGGATCTCTAGAGAATACACCTCCATCCGTGAATGCTTACTGCCTCGGGTCCTTTACACATTTTTATACCCAAGTAACCATTTTTGCAGAAGCCTAGACTCAGGGTCAACCCTCCAGCGCCGCTAGGATTTTGTCAGCTCCATTCATTCCGGGACTTGGGGGACACTGGCTCCAGGAGGCCATATCCCATGTCCCCAGCCCTGTATCCCCCTTGTGCTGGAGCATCCTGGACTCTGGGGTTTTCCCATCTTCCTTCACTCCCAAGTGGTTTAGGGACGTAAAATAATGGTGAGCCAATCCTGAGTTTATGGAACCTTGACCCCCCAGTGGCCTAGGTTGAAGCCAGGTCCATTTAACTGCATTCACCCCTGTCCACGTTGGCTGGACTCAGATTAGGGAAGGGGTGTGGGGGGAGGGGAGGCTTGAGGCCTGGAGCCTGGCCTGGGCCAGGGGGTCCGGTGAGCAGTCAGCCCTGGCAGGTGAGGTGGACAAGGGACAGAGCGTCTGTCCAAGGGTCCCTCAGCCCTCTGTGGACATCCACCTCTCCCCTGCCCCCCCCTCAACCTTCTTTGAAACACAGGACTTGGTATTTGCTTTTCATAAGATCTTTAATGAGATGTAATTTGCATACCATAAAAGTTCACTCCTTAAAGTATATTTGAATGATTTTAAAATCCCCAAGGAGTTACACAGCCATCACCACTAATTTGTTAAAAATATATTTTTTATTGATTAGGGAGAGGAAGAGAAAGATAGAAGCATCAACGCTGAGAGAGAATCATTGATTGGCTGCCTCTTGCACGCCCCCTACTTGGGGATCGAGCCTGTGCAACCCAGGCATGTGGCCTTGACTGGAATCGAACCCAGGACTCTTCAGTCCGCAGGCCGATGCTCTATCCACTGAGGCAAACCGGTTAGGGCTATCATGCTATCATCACTGATTTTATAACATTTCATCACCCCCCAGAAGGGAACTCTGAAACCTGTATGATTTTATTAGCCAGTGCCACCCTAATAAATTTAATCAAAACAAAAATCTGCCGGGACCGGTTTGGCTCAATGGATAGAGCGTCGGCTTGGGGACTGAAAGGTCCCGGGTTCGATTCCGGTCAAGGGCATGTATCTTGGTTGCGGGCACATCCCCAGTGGGGGGTGTGCAAGAGGCAGCTGATGGATGACTCTCTCTCATCGATGTTTCTGGCTCTCTATCTCTCTCCCTTCCTCTCTGTATAAAATCAATAAAATATACATTTTAATAAAAAAAAATCTGTATCCATTAGCAATCACTCCCCACTATTCCGCTGCACCCCAGCCCAGCCCACTACTCTGATTCCCGTCTCTATAGAGTTGCCTGTTCTGAACATTTCATATGAATGGCTCATACGGTATGGGACCTTTCCTGTCTGGCTTTTTTCACTTAGCGTGCGGTGTCCAAGGTTCCCCCCCCTCCCCCGCCAGGTTTTCTGTGTCTCCGTCCTTAGGCTTATGTCTTTGCCCTGGCCCAGTGGTCGGCAAACTCATTCGTCCACAGAGCCAACTATCAACAGCACAACGACTGAAATGTCTTTGGAGGGCCACGTTTTTTAAACTTAAACATCTTCTCACGCAACTTCTTCAACACCGACTCGCGAAGGCCGTGGTATATTGTGGAAGAGCCACACGCAACGGGCCAGAGAGCCACGTGTGGCTCGCGAGCCGCAGTTTGCCGACCAATACAAATCCCATTGTGTTTAGAGACCACAGTTTGTTTACCTGCTGGTGTCCATGGGTTTGTCTTGCTCCAGCTCAGGCCAGCAGAGGCAGTCAGTCATTCACAGTGGGGTGCGGGGGTCCCTGTCCTGCATTTTAGGGGGTGTCTTCAGAGAGCGGGATCCCAAAGCAGAGGCCCTGCCATGTGGGTGGGGAGGGTGAGACCCACTTTCCCTCACCTCCACCCCACAATCACTCTCCCCTCCCAGGACCCTAAGCTGGGCGGGACGGTCTGGATATTTTTCCAGGATCCTTCCCCGGTTTAGAAAGTCTATTTGCATGGCAAAGGCCCCGCGACACAGGAGGGGGAATTACAGTTATTAGCAAGTCTTTTCACAGCTAAGTGGGGCTTGTTGGCCGGCCCCTCCCCCGCCAAGGGCCTCTGCCGCCCCGAGGGGAACTGGGGGCCTCCCGCTGCTTATTAGCACCTGAGTGTGACTCTCATTAACAGGGCTCTGCTAATGAGACGGAGTGCAGGAGATGAGACGGGCCACCTCCCACCGCTCATCCTCCCCACCCCTTCCTGGGCCAGCCGCCCCTGAACCAGCGGAGGAAGCCCCGATGCCTGATCAGAGGGACGGGACGGTCACCACTGTGCCCAGGTAGGCGAGCCGTGGTCGCACGCTCTCGTTGCTCAGCTCATCTGCGAGGGGAGCCCTAGCTAAAGGGCCAGGTTGCCGAAACCGGTGTGGCTCAGTGGATAGAGCGTCGGCCTGCGGACTCAAGGGTCCCAGGTTTGATTCTTGGTTGCGGGCACATCCCCAGTAGAGGGTGTGCAGGAGGCAGCTGATCGATGATTCTCTCTCATCGATGTTTCTAACTCTCTATCCTCCTCTCTTCCTCTCTGTAAAAAATCAATTAAAAAATATATATATAGCCGAAGCCGGTTTGGCTCAGTGGTAGAGCGTCGGTCTGTGGACTGAAAGGTCCCGGGTTCGATTCTGGTCAAGGGCATGTACATTAGTTGCGGGCACATCCCCGGTAGTGGGTGTGCAAGAGGCAGCTGGTCGATGTTTCTCATCAACGTTTCTAGCTCGCTCTCTCTCTCCCTTCCTCTCTGTAAAAAATCAATAAAATATATATATATTTTTTAAAAAAAATATATATATACATTAAGTAAATAAATAGCCTTTAAAAAGTACAGTATGGGCTGAAACCGGTTTGGCTCAGTGGATAGAGCATCTGTCTGCGGACTGAAAGGTCCCAGGTTCGATTCCGGTCAAGGGCATGTACCTTGGTTGCGGGCACATCCCCAGGAGGGGGTGTGCAAGAGGCAGCTGATCGATGACTCTCTCATTGATGTTTCTAACTCTCCCTCTCCCTACCTCTCTGTAAAAAATCAATAAAATATATATTTTTTTTAAAAAGAGGCTAACTGATACCATGCTGACACAGATGTTCAGTGGTGGCCTTGGGATTGGGCTCCAGATGTGACCCCAGAGCCTGTGCTTACTCCCAGGGGCACCAGCCTGTCTCAAGGACAGAGAGCTGGCTGGTGGCTCGGCTCACCGCGGTTCTGGGCAGGGTGCCCTGGTCTGGACGGTGAGAGAGAGAGAGAGAGAAAGAGAGAGAGAGAGAGAGAGAGAGAGAGAGAGAGAGAGAGAGAGAGAGGGGCAGCATCAGCACGGGGTGCCGCCCGGCCAGCCTGCTGACTCTGGTCACCTCCTCACACACGTGCGCAGCCTGACGGGTTCCAACTCATGTGACGGAGAAGCCAGGTGCTGTACGTGTCTAATTTCAAGTCCTTTTAGCCTCAGAGCCGGCGGGAGTGGGGTGGGGGGGAGGCGGGGGGGAGGCAGGGGGGCAGGTGATGTGCGCTATTTCACAGATCAGGATGAGGAAGGTTACGGGATTTTTCACCAAACCAGTGCGTGGCGTTTGGCGTGGGGAGGAGGATGGGAAGGAGGTGACAAATCCGGCCTTTGGCACAGCCCGGGCGGGCAAGTGTGCGTGCGTGCATGCATACGTGTGTATCGGGTGTAAAATAAAGGGCCTCGTGCACATGGGCAGGCAACTTGCTTCTGAGTGTTGACCCACGTTTCCGCTGGGACAGCTGTGCCGTGTAGATGCTGGTGCTGGATGGGCCAGGGTTGCTGTTAAAAAAAAAAAAAAAAAAAAATATATATATATATATATATATATATATATATATATATATATATATATATATATATATATATATATATATATATATTTTAGCCGAAACCGGTGTGGCTCAGTGGATAGAGCATCAGCCTGCGGACTGAAGGGTCCCGGGTTCGATTCCGGTCAAGGGCATGGACCTTGGTGGCGGGCACATCCCTGGTAGGAGGCATGCAGGAAGCAGCTGGTTGATGATTCTCTCTCATTATTAATGTTCTATTTCTCTCTTCCTCTCTGAAATAAATACAAATATGTATATTTTTTTTAAAAACCAACCTGCTTGCTTGCAGTCTGTGGGCAGATAATCACGGAGACTGGGAACTCCTGAACCCCTGCAGTACTCAAAGGCACCACACGGTGTCCTCAGAGAGCCGGGCGTGGCGGGCACCCTGCGCGGCGGGCACCCTGCATCCTGTTTTCCTGGGAAGGCCAGTTTCTCAGAGAAGAGAAAGGTGCCCCTTTGCCCCTCTCCTGTGCCTCCCGGGTCCTGGGCCAGCAGGCAAGGGGCAGCAGCATGGCACGGTGCCTGCCTGCCACCTCGCCTGCCACCTCTGCCTCTCACGCCTGTGCGACCCCAGCAGTCACCTTTCTCTCCAAGGTCACCTCTCTCTCCATGACGTTAGTGGGAAGAGAAGCGGGTGGAGGAAAAGGGGGTACACAGCCGCTGGAGGTGGGGGTTGGGGGGGCTGGTGTCTTGCTCATTCAGCAAGGACTGTCCTGGGCCTGACTTGGTTGGGACGGAGTGGGAGCAAAGGGCTGTACCCCCCCCCCCACACACACACATAATTCTGGAATCTGGAAACAATATCGCTGTTTATTTGGGGGACACAGCTGTCTGCCTGCGGGCTCTGACAATTGGCATAGTGATTGAAACCCCCCCCCAAAAAAAAAAAAACAGTCCCTCTCCCCCTGCTGGCTCTGCAGGGGGCCCGGACTGCAAGTGCAGGCCCCTCGGACCTCCTGAGCCGCAGCCCTTTGTCGCTGAGTCTCTCCACCCCCGGACGGCGGCCCCGGCAGTCACTTCCTGACGCTCTCTCTCTGCAGGAGGATTGAGTACCTCCGCAGCCGCGCCCAGTGCTCCTGCTCCTTCACTTTGTTCCCCAGCTTCTGGAACCTGGGGAGAGAGAGGAGGAGGGCGTGCTGGGGGCCGCGTCCCCAGCCCGGCCCCCGGCCCCGGTCCCCAGTCCCCGGTCCCCGGTCCCCGGGCGGGCCTTGGCCACCTGTGCCCGTAATCAGGAACACTCCAAAGGCTGCCTCGTCTCTGTGCCCTCAGGACTCGGCCTGGTGCACAGCGGGCACCCCAAACTCCTTTTATTTTCTTTTTTATTTTTTTAAATATATTTTATTAATTTTTTACAGAGAGGAAGGGAGAGAGAGAGATAGCTAGAAACATGGATGAGAGAGAGTCATCGATTAGCTGCCTCTTGCACACCCCCTACTGAGGATGCGCTCACAACCAAGGTACATGCCCTTGACCAGAATCGAACCCGGGACCCCTCAGTTTGCAGGCCGATGCTCTATCCACTGAGCCAAACCGGTTTCAGCCTGAAACTCCTTTTAAAATATATATATATATATATATATATATATATATATATGTTGCCGAGACTGGTTTGGCTCAATGGATAGAGCGTCAGCCTGCGGACTGAAGGGTCCCGGGTTCGATTCCGGTCAAGGGCATGTACCTTGGCTGCGGGTGCATCCCCAGTAGGGGGTGTGCAAGAGGCAGCTGATCAGTGATTCTCTCATATTGATGTTTCTAACTATCCTTCTCTCATCCTCTCTGTAAAAAAAATCAATATATTTTTAAATATATATATATTTTTTAAATTAATTTCAGAGAGGAAGGGAGGAGAGAGAGAGAAACATCAGTGATGAGAGAGAAGCATTGATCGGCTGCCTCCTGCACGCCCCACACTGGGTATTGAGCTCGCAACCCTGGCCAGTGCCCTGCTCGGGAATTGAACTGTGACCTCCTAGGTCATAGATGGATGTTCAGCCACCGAGTCACGCCAGCCGGGCAACCCGACACACCTTTGGGGGGGGGATGCGGTGACATTGAGGCGGAGGGTGACGGGGGGCACGGCGAACCCAGGCGCTGAGGTCTGTGAGCGCAGACCCGCGCTGCCCACTCCGGGATGCCAACACGCCGTTTCGCAAGCGTTTCTTGAGCACCGGCCAGTGGCAGGCACCGGTGCCAGCGCCGGGCGGGCCAGGGTGAGCACACAGCCCGCCCCTGTCCCAGAGAAGGGGTGACAGAGGGAGAGAGCACTGTGACAGGAGGCGTCTGAGCGCCACGAAGGTCACACGCAGGGAGGAGCGGGGAAGGGAGGGTTGGTGTTTGTTTTATGTTTAGTTTTTTAAAATATATTATTGAGCCGGGACCGGTTTGGGTCAGTAGATAGAGCGTCGGCGTACGGACTGAAAGGTCCCGGGTTCGATTCCGGTCAAGGGCATGTACCTTGGTTGCAGGCACATCCCCAGTAAGGGGTGTGCAGGAGGCAACTGGTCGATGTTTCTCTCTCATCGATGTTTCTAACTCTCTGTCCCTCTCAATTCCTCTCTGTGTAAAATCAATAAAATATTTTAAAAAAATAAAAATAAGCCGAGACCTGTTTGGCTCAATGGATAGAGCGTCGGCTTGGGGACTGAAGGGACCCGGGTTCGATTCCGGTCAAGGGCATGTACCTTAGTTGCGGGCATATCCCCAGTAGGGGGTGTGCAAGAGGCAGCTGATCGATGACTCTCTCTCATCGATGTTTCTGGCTTTCTATCTCTCTCCCTTCCTCTCTGTACAAAATCAATAAAATATATATTTAAAAAAAATAATAATAAAATAAAATAAAATGAAATATATTATTGAGCCGAAACCAGTTTGGCTCAGTGGATAGAGCGTCGGCCTGCAGACTGAAGGGTCCCGGGTTCGATTCTGGTCAAGGGCATGTACCTTGGTTGCGGCTGCATCCCCAGTGGAGGGGTGTGCAGGAGGCAGCTGATCGATGTCTCTCTCTCTCATCGATGTTTCTAGCTCTCTATCCCTCTCTCTTCCTCTCTGTGAAAAATCACTAAAATATATATGTTTTAAAAAAGTAATAAAAATATATTATTGATTTCAGAGAGGAAGGGAGAGGGTGAGAGAGAGAGAGAATCATCAGTGATGAGCGAGAATCATCAGCAGGCTGCCTCCTTCACGCCTCACCCTGGGGATCGAGCCCTCACCGGGAACCAAACTGGGGACCCTTTGGTCCATAAGCCGAGGCTCTATCCTCTGAGCCACACCGGCTCGGGTTTTAGTGTGTTTTTTGTTTGTTTTTTTTAAATAACAAACGAGAGCATGCTCATGGTCATTTCACGTGCACAGGATGCCTGCGGTCCCTTGCAAAGCCTTTGACTTCCAGGAGCTTGCCTGGCTGCGCCTTACGGGGTGCGGGAGCGGGGGGGCTGTGTGTCTGTAGGTCATTTTCCAGGGAGTCACCCCTTGTTTCTCAAGGAAGGCCAAGGGAGGTGTCACCCGTGGCCACACAGGGCCTGCCCGCCCGGCCCCCCACCAGGGGAGCCCTGTGGGGTCACCCAGAAGCCCGCCCTGGGTGTGTGTGTGTGTGTGTGTGTGTGTGTGTGTGAAACCTGGACCGTGCTTGGCCCGCGTTCTGTACCCCACGGGGATTAAAGGGACAGGGACAGACTGTTTCTGTCTGCTTCCTGCTGTCCCGAAGCTTCTGCGGTCAGATGCCTGGCCCAGTCAGAGATGGCAGACATGGGGCAGACGGGGAGGGGAAGCAGATGGAAATGGTGCCGGACGGGGCAGAGGCCAGGCCGGGGGCGGAGCGGGAGGGGGTGGGCACCCTTGGCAGCGACTGGCCCCTCTGAGATCCCCGGAGGCGGGCTCTGTTCCACCCTGCTGCTTGCGAAATCCCCGGGGCGGATGTCGTAAAAGCCGTTTGGACAGACCACCCCGGGCCTGCAACTTTGACTCTGTTGCCTCACCAACCCATCTTGCCTTCAAGTTTCACCTAGTTTTAGGGCCAATGGAAACTTCCAGACACCAGCTATAAATAGAAAAAAATAAGACGGGAGGGGATAGGTGTCCACGGGTATGTGTGATACGCGGCGAGAGGTTAACGTGTCATCGACAGACCCGGGTTGTGAGGAGTAGGCGGGTGTTTTTGCGGAAATTGTTTTCGAAGCTGCTGCGTGTTTGAAAATTGTCGTGATAAAATGGGGTAGGGCCAAAACCGGTGTGGCTCAGTGGATAGAGCGTTGGCCTGCGGACTGAAAGGTCCCGGGTTCGATTCCGGTCAAGGGCATGGACCTTGGTTGCAGGTACATCCCCAGTGGGGGGTGTGCAGGAGGCAGCTGATCCATGCTTCTCTCTCATTGATGTTTCTAACTCTCTATCCCTCTCCCTTCCTCTCTGCAAAAAAATCAATAAAATATATTTTAAAAAATCAATAATAGCCAAGACTGGTTTGGCTCAATGGATAGAGCGTCGGTTTGGGGACTGAAGGGTCCCGGGTTCGATTCCGGTCAAGGGCATGTACCTTGGTTGCGGGCATATCTCCAGTAGGGGGTGTGCAAGAGGCGGCTGATCGATGACTCTCTCTCATCGATGTTTCTAACTCTGTATCTCTCTCCCTTCCTCTCTGTACAAAATCAATAAAATACATTAAAAAAATCAATAATAATAATAAAAAAAAAGCTAAGGAAGCAAAAGGAGCCCGGCCGGTGTGGCTCAGTGGTTGAGCATCGGCCTATGAACCAGGAGGTGGCGGTTCCATTCCCGGTCGGGGCACATGCCCAGCTGCAGGCTCGGTCCCCAGTAGGGGGCGTGCGGGAGGCAGACAACCAATCATTCTCTCTCATCACTGATGTTCCCATCTCTCTTTCTCTCTCTCCTTTCTCCCTTCCTCTCTGAAATCAATCAAAATATATTTAAGAGCAAGAGAGAGGGAGAGACAGAGAGCAAAAGGGAAACCTGTCTGCCCTCCTTCCCCATCCGCCTGAGCCGCTGCCTCCTCTTCTGCCGACGGGACCCACCTCCTCTGGAGCAGGCTCTCGCATCTCCTCTCCAGGGGCAGCGCCTGGCGGAAGCCCGCGGAGTTCAGGGCCGCCGGGGGGACGAGGCAGCGCTTCGAGGCGTTCTCCAGGAGGGAGCAGGAGTCGAAGTTGAAGTAGAAGACGGAACTCGGGGTGTGGCTGTTCCCGTCCGGGTGGTCCCCTGAGAGGAGACGGGAGTGCGTGTCTGTGTCCGCATCACCTTCTCCGGGGTCTCTGCGGACCCGGTGGGGCCGGGTCATTCGGGCTGAGCCCGGGGGGCCCACTTGTCTGGAGGAACCGGGGTCCGGAGAGGCCCGCCTGGCGTCTCTTCTGAGTGTCTGGGGGGGGACTCAGGCTGTGGTGGTGGGGGGCGACAAAGTGAGGGGAGCAGCCCGGCCAGGGTGGCTCAGTGGTCGAGCATCGATCTATGAACCAGGAGGTCCGGTTCCATTCCCGGTCAGGGCACATGCCCGGGTTGCAGGCTCCGTCCCCAGTAAGGGGCGTGCAGGAGGCACCCGATCAATGATTCTCTCTCATCATTGATGTATCTCTCTCTCCCTCTCCCTTCCTCTCTGAAATCAATAAAAGTATATATTAAAAAAAAAAAAAAAAAAAAGCTGAAACTGGTTTGGCTCAGTGGATAGAGCGTCGGCCTGCAGACCGAAGGGTCCCAGGTTCGATTCCAGTCAAGGGCACGTACCTTGGTTGCGGGCACATCCCCAGTGGGGGGTGTGCAGGAGGCAGCTGATGGATGATTCTCTCTCATCGATGTTTCTAGCTCTCTATCCCTCTCTCTTCCTCTCTGTAAAAAAATCAATAAAATATATTTAAAAAAAAACACAAAAAAACAGAGTGGGGAGCAGATTGGATGGGGTCGTCCTGGCCTCCGGGAAGGGACTGAGGAAGCCAGGGAAGCGGCCAGGAGGCTCCCGGGCTGGGCAGCGCGCCCCGTGGCCCCCCTCTCCTACCTCGGAGCAGGAAGAAGGGGTAATGCAGAGACACGGCGAACACCGGCTTCCAGGGCACCGCCAGGTGGTAGGGCTCGGGGGGCGCAAAGGCACAGACGACCTGAGGCCGGGCCACGTCCAGCAGGTGCACGGAGCTGTTCTTGGAGAAGGTCAGCACCTGGGCAGCGGGACGGGCACGGGGTTCGCCGTGGGGCCCTCGGGAAGCAGGGCAGGACACGGCCTTCCCCCCGCCCCAGAGCAGCTGCCCGGTGACTCGTCTGCCAGCCCCGGACGGCCTTGGCAGAGAGGAGGAGGCGTGAGAGGCACGAGGGACCTACCATGCCAGGCAAGGCTGGGACGGGGGCCACCGCGCAGAGAGCCTCCTCCGGGTGCTTGGCAGGCCTGTGGGCACCAGGACGGACAGACGCTCAGCCTCTGCTCTCCCAGGCGGCCGTCCCCAATAAACTTTTTTTTTTTTAATAAATATATCTTATTGATTTTTTACAGAGAGGAAGGGAGAGGGAGAGAGAGTCAGAAACATCGGTGAGAGAGAATCATCCATCAGCTGCCTCCTGCACATCCTCCTACTGGGGATGTGCCTGCAACGAAGGTACGTGCCCTTGACGGGAATCGAACCCGGGACCTTTCAGTCCGCAGGCCGACGCTCTATCCACCGAGCCACACCAGTCACGGCTGGAATAAACTTTCATATAAGCATCAAGAGAGATGCCGGGGGCTCCTCACAGCAGCAGGAACTGGGAGCATGCACGTCTCCGTTGGTGAGAGAAGCGTAAGAGCTGGTGTGTGCACAGGAACGCGGCTCAGCAGGGCCAGTGAGACCTGCTGCCGAGGGCGGCCCCCAGGGCACTCTCACGGACAGGGTTGCAGAGCAAGTTACAGAATAAATAGCACCAAAATGCAAGTGGGATCCTAACCGGTGTGGCTCAGTGGATAGAGCGTCGGCCTGCAGACTGAAGGGTCCCAGGTTCCATTCCGGTCAAAGGCATGGACCTTGGTTGCGGGCACATCCCCAGTAGGGGGTGCGCAGGAGGCAGCTGATGGGTGATTCTCTCTCATGGATGTTTCTAGCTCTCTATCCCTCTCCCTTCCTCTCTGTAAAAAAAATAACCCAATAAAATACATTAAAAAATAAATAAAAAATAAAAAAGAGAGGGACAGCCGAAACCGGTTTGGCTCAGTGGATAGAGCGTCGGACTGCGGACTGAAAGGTCCCAGGTTCGATTCCGGCCAAGGGCATGTACCTTGGTTGCGGGCACATCCCCGGTAGGGGGTGTGCAAGAGGCAGCTGGCAGATGTTTCTCTCTCATCGATGTTTCTAGCTCTCTGTCTCTCTCCCTTCCTCTCTGTAAAATATCAGTAAAATATATATTTTAAAAAAAATAAAAAAATAAAAATAAAAAATAAAAAAGAGAGGGACCCCTGGGGAGACGGATACAAGGCTATTTTCGTCAGAAATGACCCCCGTCTTGGCCCTGTGGGGGGTGAACGGGGTTGTGTGCGCCATCATCCATCATGTCGGGACCGTGTTGCAACACACACACACACACACACACACACACACACCCACATGCGGAAGCCGTGATACTGAGACGCCCATGGGGAGAGAGGGGTGGCTGTGGGACTGGCGGGCTGCAGACGGTCGCCGTTTCCCTGCCTTCCCTGGCATCTAGATCATTCCCCGCCCCCCCCCCCCCCCCCCCCCCCCCGCCTTCCCCTCAGAGCCGCCGCCCACCTCTCCACCAGCGTGCTGAGGGCGGGGCCGCGGGTCCCCGAGGCGGTCACCAGGTGCAGGGACGCGTCCGAGCACAGCACCACGCAGCTCGCCTGGGAACTCACGGCGCCCGCGGGGTACACGTTCCGGCCCTCGTGGACACGGAAGTCCTTCAGAAACTGAATGCTTTGGCAGGAGCAGCCCTCGGGAAGAGCGATGACCCCGAGCAACAGTCCTGGAGAGAGAGAGGCGGGGCGTGCAGGTCGGAGAGGGGGGGGGGGGGCGCGAAAGGCCCGGCCGGTGCGGCTCAGTGGTTAGGCGTCGACCCAGGAACCGGGCAGTCACGGTTCGATTCCCGGTCAGGGCACAGGCCCGGGTTGCGGGCTATATCCCCAGTGCAGGAGGTAGCCGATCAGTGATTCTCTCTCATCATTGATGTTTCCCTCTCTCTCTCTCTCTTTCTCTCTCTTCATTGACCTCTATGAACCCGGAGGTCACGGGGGTTCGATTCCCCGTCAGGGCTCATGCCCGCGTTGTGGGCTCGATCCCCAGTGTGGGGCGTGCAGGAGGCAGCCAGAGGGTGATTCTTCCTCATCATGGATGCTTCTCTCTCCCCCTCCCCTCTCCCTCCCCTTGGGACCTCTGGGATCTGGCACAGGGCCGGGCCCCGAGCCGGCCCTGGGATACCGTGTGGGAAGGGGAAGTGTCCGCACATGTTGTGTCCAATGCTGTCTGCTGACTGACATCTGAGGGGCCTGTAAGAACAGCAGGCAGCCAAAACCGGTGTGGCTCAGTGGATAGAGCGTCGGCCTGCGGACTGAAGGGTCCCGGGTTCGATTCGGGTCAAGGGCACGTGCCTTGGTGGCGGGCACATCCCCAGTAGGAGGTATGCAGGAGGCAGCTGGTCGATGTTTCTCTCTCATCTATGTTTCTAACTCTCTATCCCTCTCAATTCCTCTCTGTAAAAAAATCGATAATAAATATATATATATATATATATATATATATATATATATATATATATTTTTTTTTTTTTTAAAAGCCGGGACTGGTGTGGCTCAGTGGATAGAGCGTCAGACTGCGGACTGAAGGGTCCCAGGTTCGATTCGGGTCAAGGGCATGTGCCTTGGTTGCGGGCACATCCCCAGTGGGAGGCGTGCAAGAGGCAGCTGATGGCTGATTCTCTCTCATGGATGTTTCTAACTATCTCTCTCCTCCCTTCCTCTCTGTAAAAAAAAAAAAAAAAAAAAATCAATAAAATATGTATTTAAAAAATTAAGCAATGAGCTCCCCCTTCAGGGGTCCCCTTCTGAGTACTCCTTAGAAGGATTATCAATATCCAGGAGGATGGAAACAAGCTGTTGGAAGGGACTGGGAAATTGTGAATCTATCCACCCACAGTGGTGGTTGCTGGTCTCAAACTGATCTAACTGATCGCTGTCCAGGTCTCAGTCTCGGAGACACATCGGGGGGGGGGGGGGGCCGGGCTGGGGGCGGCGGGGGGGGCTCACCTTTAGCCAGGTCCCACAGCGTGAGCACCCCGTCCTCGCAGGCCAGCACCAGGTAGCTGCCGCAGTCGGTGAGCTGAGACGCCACAATGGGCGCAGCACAGGGCCACACGCCCTCGGGGTCTGGCGGGAAGGACACGCTCACCGGGCTGCCCCCCCCCCCACAGGCCTCCCACCCGCCACCCCCTCCACCTGCACCACCGGGGACCGGACCGCGGGTTCCCATCCCTCCCCCGTCCGTCCGTCCGTGCAGCGCGGGCTCCTGGCTCAGGACGACAGAGCACGTCGCTCGCCTGGGAGGCTGCAGGTCAGGGTCCGATGGCAGCCACCCTGGGAGGCATTTTCACTCATCGCCCCACTGGATTCCCTCCCACAGGGTCTTAGGAGGTGGGTTCTGCCAGCGCCCATTTTACAGATGAGGAGACTGAGGCACAGAAGTGGCCGATTTTCCCACTGTCACCCAGGCCAGCGGTCGGCAAACTCGTTAGTCCACGGAGCCGAATATCAACAGGATGACGACTGAAATTGCTTTTGAGAGCCACATTTTTAAAACTTAAACTATAGCCCTAACTGGTTTGGCTCAGTGGATGGAACATCGGCCTGCGGACTGAAAGGTCCCAGGTTCGATCCCGGTCAAAGGCATGTGCCTTGGTTGCAGGCACATCCCCAGTGGGGGGCGTGCAGGAGGCAGCTGATCGTTGTTTCTCTCTCATCGATGTTTCTAGCTCTCTATCCCTCTCCCTTCCTCTCAGTAAAAAATCAATAAAATGTATTTAAAAAAAAAAAAAAAAGGAAAGGAAAGGAAATACCACAGAGTGAACTTACTCATGTAACCGGTGCCCGTGAACTTGTGAAAAAGCAACAAGTGCACCTCCTAAGGGCCTGTCACTGCCAAAGAGCTTCACATACAGAAACTCTGGGCTTTGCTAGTCACAGGCAATGGGGGCAGAAGGCAGGACGGTCGTGAACCAGCTCTGTGTTCGGATGAGAAGGGGGGGATAGGGGGGTTGGCGGGGGGAATTGGGAAGGCAGGTGACTGGTCTGAGGCTGCCCAGTTCGCTGGGACTGGCTCTGGCCCTCTGAGGTCAAGACCACCTTCTTCTGACCTTTGCTGCCCGGGGGCCCTGGGGACCTGACTGGGCTTTGTTCCTGTTGACCTGTTGTCTTTAAGAAGCAGGACAGCCGGAACCGGTTTGGCTCAGTGGATAGAGCGTCGGCCTGCGGACTGAAAGGTCCCAGGTTCGATTCCCGGTCAAGGGCATGGACCTTGGTTGCGGGCACATCCCTGGTGGAAGGGTGCGCAGGAGGCGGCTGGTCGATGTTTCTCTCTCAACATTGTTTCTAATTCCATCTCTCTCCCTTCCTCTCTGTAAAAAATGAATAAAATATATATTTTTAAAAAAAGAAATGGGACATGCCCGGCATGGCTCAGTGGTTGAGCATAGATATGAACCAGGAGGTCACGGTTCGATTCCCGGTCAAGGGCACATGCCTCGGTGCGGGCTGGATCCCCAGTGGGGGGCATGCAGGAGGCAGCTGATCCACGATCCTCTCTCATCACTGATGTTTCTATCTCTCTCTCTCTCCTCCCTTCCTTTCTGACATCAATAAAAAAATATATATATATATATATATATATATATATATATATATATAATTATTTTTTTTTTAACAGGATAGTGCTCAGACAGAGCCTCAGGGCACACCAGACAGAGCCTGCCTGTACGCACAGCTCTAGTCCCTGAAGCCACACTGTGTGCCAGCCACGTGCCCTCAGCGAGGCTGGAGCCGGACACATCCCCAGGGCCCCAAGCGCGGGCAGCCAAGTACCAACTTTGTCCTTGAGGGTGCGGTTGAGGGGGTAGAGGAAGAAGTTGTGCCGTCCCGTCCACTGGACGCCAAGGACACTGGCCAGCCCTGGGAAGAGAGGAGGGGGGGAGTCAGTAAGGAGCGGGGGTGGGGGCCTTTGGTCGGGGCCGATAGCCTTTGCCCAAGAGGAAGTTGGTTTGAAATTAAAAAAAAATGTTTTGTTCCGCTGGGCTGGCGTGGCTCAGTGATTGAGCGTCGACCTAGGAACCAGGAGGTCACAGGTTCGATTCCTGGTCAGGGCACATGCCTGGGTTGCAGGCTCCATCTCCAGTGGGGGGCGTGCAGGAGGCAGCCAACCAGTGATTCGCTCTCATCATGGGTGTTTCTATCTCTCTCTCTCCCTCTTCCTTCCTCTCTGAAACCAATAAAAATTAAAAAAAAAAAAAAAAAAAAAAAAACTTTTAAAAAAGTGGTTTGAGCCAAAACTGGTTTGGCTAAGTGGATAGAGCGTTGGTCTGTGGACTGAAGGGTCCCGGGTTCGATTCCGGTCAAGGGCATGTACCTTGGTTGCGGGCACATCCCCAGTAGGCGGTGTGCAAGAGGCAGCTGATAGATGATTCTCTCTCATCGATGTTTCTAACTCTCTATCTCTCTCCCTTCCTCTCTGTACAAAATCAATAAAATATATTTAAAAAAAAAAAAAAAAAAGTGGTTTGGGCCGAAACCGGTTTGGCTCAGCGGATAGAGCGTTGGTCTGGGGACTGAAGGGTCCCAGGTTCGATTCTGGTCAAGGGCCCATGCTCAACCACTGAGCCACCCAGGCTGGGCCGTCAGTTTTTAAATCACATCCTGAACGAAGTGAGTTCCTTTCCCGAACAGCCTGGCACCCTCCCCTGAGGCGGGCCACCCCCGGAAGGCGGTGCCAGCCCCATCCTCAGAGCCTCTGGGCCACAGCCCAGTCCTGGTCCCCTCCCCACCCCCCAGAGGGTGCGCTGTGGGGACCCCGGGGGGGGCATTGCCCCCAGGTGCCTGGCCACGTGCCCAGGACAGCCACTCCCTCGCGGTCACTTACCCGGGGGGCCCTTCGCCTCTGTTGGCATCACGGTGAGGCAGCTAGGAAGGAGGAAGTGGAAGGTGGCCATGCTGGAGAGAGAGAGAGAGAGAGAGACAGAGACTTGTCAGGGCCACGGCAGACTCCTTGGCAAGGAGCAAGGCTGGCAGTTGGCAGTCTCGGTACCAGGACGGGAAATGGGGTCCAGAGCCCCGAGACATTGTGGGTGCAGGTTCTGGTGGGTGCAGAACGTGGAAGTCGGTGAGGTGGGCGGGGGGTTAGGGCTGCGGGAGCCTCTCCCAGGCCTGGGCAGCTCCCTGTCTGACCCCTCAGACCCCTCAGGACCAGGCTTGGGCCGTGTGCACGAATGCTCTCTCTGCCTGGGGGCAAGACAACCCGTGCTGTGCAGAGACATTGGCTGTTTTTTGTTTTTTAACATATTTTATTGATGTTTTTACAGAGAGGAGGAGAGAGGGATAGAGAGCTAGAAACGTCGATGAGAGAGAAACATCCATCAGCTGCCTCTTGCACACCCCTCACCGGGGATGTGCCCGCAACCAAGGTATTAATACATGCCCTTGAAAGGAATCGAACCCGGGACCTTTCAGTCCCCAAGCCGACGCTCTATCTATTGAGCCAAACCGGTCTCGGCTGTTTTTTTGTCTTTTTTTAACAAAAGCTCAATGCCTGATGTATAGGGCTGTGGCTCTCTGTGGTGTAAACAATCTCATGAGGGACAGTAACCTTTGAACCAGGAGGTCAGGGTTCGATTCCCGGTCAGGGCACATGGCCCAGGTTTCGGGTTCAATCCCCAGTAGGGAGCACGCAGGAGGCAGCCGATCAATGAATGATTCTCTCTCATCATTGATGTTTCTATCTCTCCCGCTCCCATTCTCTCTGAAATCAATAAAAATATACACTGAGTGTCCAGATGATGATGATCTCTGAATGCATAATAGTCTGGCCACTCAGTGTATATCCTATAGAATAAGAAGGCTAGCCGAGACCGGTTTGGCTCAGTGGATAGAGCTTCGGCCTGTGGACTGAAAGGTCCCGGGTTCGATTCCGGTCAAGGGCATGTGCCTTGGTTGCGGGCACATCCCTAGTAGGGGGTGTGCAGGAGGCAGCTGATTGATGATTCTCTCTCATCAATGTTTTTAACTCTCTATCCCTCTCTCTTCCTCTCTGTAAAAAAAATCAATTAAAAAAAAAGGCTAATATATAAATTGTCCCCTTGACCAGGAGTTCGACCAACAGGCAGGCCGGCCAACCACCCATGTCCCCTCCCCCTGGCTAGGCTGGCTGGACCCCACCCATGCATGAATTCATGCACCAGGCCTCGTGTGTGCGTGTGTGTGTGCGTGTGTGTGTGTGTAGATAGATAGATATAGATATATGCATATGTATGCATATATATGCATATACACACACACACTGAGTGGCCAGATTATTATGCGTTCAGAGATCATAATCATCTGGCTACTCAGTGTATATATATATATATATATATTTAAAAATATATATATGGCCAAAACCGGTTTGGCTCAGTGGTAGAGCATCGGTCTGCAGACTGAAAGGTCCCGGGTTCGATTCCGGTCAAGGGCATGTACCTTGGTTGCGGGCACATCCCCAGTGGGGGGTGTGCAGGAGGCAGCTGGTGGATGTTTCTCTGTCATCGATGTTTCTAACTCTCTATCCCTCTCTCCTCTTCTCTGTAAAAAAGCAATAAAATATATATATTTAAAAAAAATATATATATATATGTATGACTTCTTAAAAGACCTGCTGGAGTTCTCAGATCAGAAAGGTGCCCGGAACCAGGATGGAGTCAGGTCCTCGGGGGAGAAGCCCTGGGGGCCGGGTGCAGGGTGTGGGCTCACCTGAGCGGCTCCTCCTCCCACTCCCCATCCAGGTACTTCCGGAACGTGTCGTTGAAGATGGCCGTCTGCTGCTCCCACTGGCTGTCCTTGATGATGTGGTTCTGGCCGGAGCCCAGGCCGTAGCAGCCCTCCAGCTTGGCAAACACTTCCAGGGGGCTTTTAAACGGGGAGCCTGCAGGGGGGGGGGTGTGTGTGCATTCCAGGGGCGCCCAGACCTCCCGGCTCCCACCTCCTCCACGCTTCCCAGCTCCCTGGGGAGTCCCGCCTCCTCAGAAACCCCGTCTCGCCTGCAGCCCTCCATCCCCCGAGCCCAGGCTCTCTTTCCCGGCCTCTCTGCTACCGCAGGTGCTCAGCGAGCTCGGGCCACCGCGTCTCCCTCCCACCGCAGGTCCTCACTCGGGAATCGCACCATCTCCAGAGGAGGCCCCGAGGCTGGCCCCATGTCACCAGACACCCACCGGAGGGCACTGTCGCTGCCCCACCAGCTCAGCAGCCAGTCCTCTCTCTTCCTCTGTTTATTTTTATTTTTTTTATTTTATGCTATATATATATATATATATATATATATATATATATATATATATATTATTCAGGGATAGAGAGCTAGAAACATCGATGAGGGAGAGAAACATCGATCAGCTGCCTCTTGCACACCCCCTACTGGGGATGTGCCCACAGCCAAGGTACACGCCCTTGACCGGAATCGAACCTGGGACCTTTCAGTCCGCAGGCCAGCCAACGCTCTATCCGCTGAGCCACACCGGTCTCGGCTCCTCCTCTGTTTAGTTTCCTTCAACTTCCTTCCTCTTCAAGGCCTTCTCCTCCCGTCAGTCACTCTCTCCCAGAGCCTCTCATTTCCTTCCTGTCGCCTGTCCCTAAATCCTCGGGAAAACTGGGCGGTTTCGTTGCTGGGTTCGCACCCTCAGCTTTCAGAGCTCGGCTCCTTGGCACGTGCCCGGGGCCCTCAAGTTGCCTGGCAGGTGCCAGGCTGGCCGGGTGCCCTTCCCCTGGCAGCCAGTGTTACCAGTCTGCTGGGTGGCACTCCACGGCAGCTCCTCGTTGATAAACTGTGTGGCCTGTTCCATCCCTGGCTGCTCTACCTGGTTTCCTTATACATCGCCTCGCTCCCATGGGCAGAACCTACAGCTGATTGTGCTGATGAGTGAACTAACACGAGGGGTAGCAATGAATGCACTCCAGCCCTAGATGGTTTGGCCGGTGTGGCTCAGTAGCTAGAGTGTCAGCCTGTGGACTAAAGGGTCCCGGATTGGATTCCGGTCAAGGGCACATGCCCGGGTTACAGGCTTGATCCCCAGTAGGGTGCGGGCAGGAGGCGGACAATCAATAATTCTCTCTCATCATGGATGTTTCTCTCTCTCTCCCTCTCTCTTCCTCTCTACAATCAATAAAAATAGGTTTCAAAACAAAACAAAAGACATGACAACTCAATTAATATATTTGGATTCTGATTCAAATCAATGTAAAAAACCAACAACACAACTTTAAATATAATTTTTAAATGAATTTCTACCAGAAGAGACCACTTGTCTTCAGGCCCCAGAGTTTATCACTTAAAGAACATTTTCTCGCCGAAACCGGTGTGGCTCAGTGGATAGAGCGTCGGCCTGCGGACTGAAGGGTCCCGGGTTGGATTCTGGTCAAGGGCACATCCCCAGTAGGGGATGTGCAAGAGGCAGCTGATCGATGACTCTCTCTCGTCGATGTTTCTAACTCTCTATCTCTCTCCCTTCCTCTCGTAAAAAATCGATAAGATATATTTAAAAAAAAAAAAAAACAACATTTTCTCTTCAAAGAACTGTACTTGTCATTTCAATATTGCTGCCAATAAATAGACAAGACGGGAAAGGTGGGAAAAGGTAACGAAAGGAAATATCAACGATCAAAGGAGAGTGTTAGTTGACTCAGACTGACCGGTGATCGGTTTGGGTTAGTTGAATCAGACTGACCGGTGATCGGTTTGGGTGGCTTAATCTTCATGATGTGGACTGGAAGACTCAACTTAATATCTCCCAGGTAACAGACGCTCACATCCTACAATAAGGAAAGACACAGCTAATCAGACCACAAAGGATGCCGAGGCCGGTGTGGCTCAATGGATAGAGCGTCGGCCTGTGGACTAAAGGGTCCCGGGTTCGATTCCGGTCAAGGGCACGTGCCTTGGTTGTGCGCACATCCCCAGAAGTGGGTGTGCAGGAGGCAGCTGATCAATGATTCTTTCTCATCGATGTTTCTCTCTATTGCTCTCTCTTCCTCTCTGTAAAAAATTCAATAAAATACATTTAATAGAGAAAGAGAGAGAGAGAGAGATGGAGAGAGCTAGAAACATCGATGAGAGAGAAACATCCATCAGCTGCCTCCTGCACGCCCTTTCCCGGGGATGTGCCCGCAACCAAGGCACGTGCCCTTGCCCGGAATCGAACCCGGGACCTTTCAGTCCGCAGGCCGACCCTCTATCCACTGAGCCGCACCGGTCTCGGCTTAAGTCCGGTTTTAACCAGAGCGGGTCGGTTTGGGAGGCACGGCCAGGGTGCCTGGCCCCCCTTCCCGCCCCCCATCATTCGCCTCTACCCTGCACGGAGGGTCACAGCGGACGGACGTGGGGCCAGGGGGAGGGAGAGACGCGGGGGTTCGAAGCGGGTTCCCTACCGTCTGGGGCTGTTTGGGCTTCTTCTTGGGGTTGGTGGCCAGCTGGGGGTGTTCCACCTCCTTGAGCCAGGCGTCCTTGGGCAGCTTGTACACGTCCAGCCACGTATCTCCGGCCCCTGCGTTGGGAAAGCCCCCCCCCGGGGGGGGCCGGGGGTTGAGCAACCCCAGGCAGGCACCGCGCGCATCCCCCGAGGACAGCCTGTCCCCTGGGGACCCCTGGCCCGGAGCCCGGCAGACACCCCCAAACAGCGGGGTCCTCACGCCCCGGAGAGCCGGGCTGCTCCCCAGGAGCCACCGCGCCTGCACGGCCCCGGCAGTTTCCTCTGTGGGTTGATGGATTGGTTTCAGAGAGGAAGGGAGAGGGAGAGGGAGAGTGAGAGAGAAACGTCGATGAGGAGAGAGAATCGTGGATCAGCTGCCTCCTGCACGCCCCCCCACGCTGGGGATCGAGCCCGCAACCCGGGCACGTTCCCTTGATCGGAGTCAAACCCCGACCCTTCCCGTCCGCAGGCCGGCGCTCTAACCACTGGGCACACCGGCTAGGGCGAGCCATAGGAGTTTCTAACCGGACTCTGCTGAGCGCATCCCCAGGTGTTCCGGCTTGCAGATGGTGAACTCCAGTGACATTGTGTCTCAGCCAGATTCCTCTCTGGCGACGGGGGGGGGGGGGGGGGGGGGGGGATTGGAGAGGGTTTGGGGGGATGTGATTCGCATGGAACCAGCAACGGTCAGAGCTAGGCAGAGAAGGGGCTAGAACTGGGACCGTCGCCTTAAGAGAATTCTTCTGACAAATGTTGGGGTGACAATCTATGGGGGGGTGTGGGGGCTTCTTGTCATAGAAATGTGCTCAGCTTCGGTACCGAGTACCCGCCAGTCGGGGGAGGGGCTGCTTTCTTGGGGGATGGGTTCCTGGCTAACAGTTTCCTTAGAAAAGCGCTCGTTGCCCTGGCCAGGGTGGCTCAGTGGATAGAGCGAAGGCCTGCGGACTGAAGGGTGTCCCGGGTTCGATTCCGGTCGAGGGCACGTACGTACCTCGGTTGCGGGCCCCATCCCTGATCTTGGTCAGGGTGCGTAGGGGAGGCAACCAATCACCGGGTCTGTCCCACATCGATGTTCCTCTCCGTCTCCCCTCCCTTCCACTCTCTCTAAAAAAATCAATGGGCCGAAACCGGTGTGGCTCAGTGGATAGAGCGTCGGCCTGCAGACTGAAAGGTCCCAGGTTCGATTCCGGTCAAGGGCATGCACCTTGGTTGCGGGCACATCCTCAGTAGGGAGTGTGCAGGAGGCAGCTGATGGATGTTTCTCTCTCATCGATGTTTCTAACTCTCTATCCCTTTCTCTTCCTCTCTGTAAAAAATTTAATTCATTAATAAAATATATTTTAAAAATAAAATAAAATAAAGGAAAAGCAATTCAATGTTACAAAAGAATATTACCTTTAAAAAATAGTATTATAGCCAGGACCGGTTTGGCTCAGTGGATAGAGCGTCAGCTTGCAGACTAAAAGGTCCCAGGTTCGATTCCGGTCAAGGGCATGTACCTTGGTTGCGGGCACATCCCCAGTGGGGAGTGTGCAAGAGGCAGCTGGTCGATGATTCTCTCTCATCGATGTTTCTAGCTCTCTATCCCTCTCCTTTCTTCTCTGTAAAAAAATCAATAAAATATATATTTTTTTAAAAATTCCCGGCCCCGGTGAGCCTTACCTTGTAGGAGGAAGGCTGCAAAGTCCCCTCCGGGAGAGATGTTCATCTTGGCACAGATGGTCTGCTTGCTGGTGTCATCCTGAAACGGGGAGAGAGAGAGAGAGAGAGAGAGAGAGGGAGAGAGAGAGAGAGAGAGAGGCTGCTAGAGCCAGGGCGCCTGTGGGGGCCTGGCGTGTCCCCACCCGCCCCCGTGTCCACAGAAACCCTCCCGAAGCCAGGGGCACGGAGAGATGCCTTTCCGCGGACACGTGTTTTCATTTCTCTCCGGTCAAAGCCTAGGAATGCGACTGAGGAGCGATCGGCTCAACTTTACATCTCGGATACGTTCCCCAGTCCGTCGTCCGTGGCACATGCCGCCGCCGAAGCCAGGGACGGAGCCGGCAACCGAGATGTGTGGCCTTGACTGGAATCAAACGCTGTGACCCTTCATTCCACAGGCCGGTGCTCTAACCACTGAGCAACCCGGCTAGGCCTTCGTACAATTTTAAAATTTTTATTGATTGATTTTTTTTTTGAGAGAAAGAGAGAGAGGAAAGGAGAGCTCAACACTGCTTTTGTTCCACTTATTTATTTGGTTGATCCTTGTATGTGCCCTGATCGGGGATCACACCATCAACCTTGGTGTATCGCCCGATGCTCTAACCCTCATTCGTCAGCAAACTCATTCGTCCACAGAGCCAAATATCAACAGTACAGTGATTGAGCCAAAACCGGTTTGGTTCAGTGGTAGAGCGTTGGTCTGCGGACTGAAAGGTCCCGGGTTCGATTCCGGTCAAGGGCATGTACCTTGGTTGCGGGCACATCCCCAGCAGGGGGTGTGCAGGAGGCAGCTGATCAATGTTTCTCCCATCGATATTTCTAGCTCTCTACCCCTCTCCCTTCTTCTCTGTAAAAAAGTCAATAAAATATATATTTTTAAAAAACAAAAAACAGTACAGTGATTGACATTTCTTTGGAGAGCCACATTTTTTAAACTTAAACTTCTTCTAACACCACTTCCTCAACACAGACTCGCCCAGGCCGTGGTATTCTGTGGGAGAGCCACATTCAAGGGGCCAAAGAGCCGCATGTGGCTCACGAGCCTCGGTTTGCCTACCACGGCTCTAACCCACTGAGCTACTTGGCCAGGGCCCCGCCTCCATCTTAAAAGTGAACTTGAGCCGGGACCAGTTTGGCTCAATGGATAGAGCGTCGGCTTGGGGACTGAAAGGTCCCGGGTTCGATTCCGGTCAAGGGCATGTACCTTAGTTGCGGGCATATCCCCAGTGGGGGGTGTGCAAGAGGCAGCTGATCGATGACTCTCTCACATCGATGTGTCTAACTCTCTATCTCTCTCCCTTCCTCTCTGTATAAAATCAATAAAATATATTAAAGAAAAAAAAAAAGTGAACTTGATTTGCTACCGTGTGAGGCCCAGTCCTAGGTACTGACCACCTCGTTGATGGTTTTGATGAAGAAAAGACCCTCCTTGCAGAGATAAAACAGCCTAACGACACCTGGAAGGGAAAAACGGGTATGTCAGACAGAAGAAACCTGTAACTTTCTCTCGAACTTCCTGAGATGGGCATCGGCAGCTCGTGCACGCTGGGACCTCCCTCCCTCCCTCCCTCCACCGCCGTGAGGGCCTGGGTCTCCCTGCCTTCCGCCACCGGCCCCTGCCCACCCCAGCCCCATCCTCCTCCCCAGGGCCTCCCGTGGGCCCTCCGGCCCCCTCTCCTTGTCCTCATGCCATTCTGCCTCACGTGACTACCCACCCGTGTCCTGTGGGTATGTTTTGAATATATATATATATATATATATATATTTTTTTTTTTTTTTTTTTAAATATATATTTTATTTATTTTTTACAGAGAGGAAAGAAGAGGGAGAAAGAGAAAGAAACATCAATGATGAGAGAGAATCATTGATTGGCTGCCTCCAGCACACCCCACTCTGGGGATCGAGCCCACAGTCCAGGCAGGTGCCCTTGGCCAGAATCGAACCCGGGATCCTTCAGTCCGCAGGCCAATGCTTTATCCACTGAACCAAACCAGCCAGGGTCTGTTACTTATTTATTTTTTTTAATACTCTACTTTTTGAAATAAACCTTCGTTTCTATGAAAATGGAAGCTTTTTGTTTTGTTTTGTTTTGTTTTTGCGGCCACATACACTTAAACCTTGTTTATCAGGCCCGTGTTAGCCTTTGAGTTTGACATGCTCGGTCCACAGGTGCACATAAATGAGGCTAAAGGAAGATGAAGGCCGAAACCGGTGTGGCTCAGTGGATAGAGCGTCAACCCGCGGACTAAAAGGTCCCGGGTTCGATTCCGGGCAAGGGCATGTACCTTGGTTGCGGGCACTATCCCCAGTAGGAGGTGTGCAGGAGGCAGCTGGTCGATGTTTCTCTCTCATCGATGTTTCTAGCTCTCTATCCCTCTCCCTCTCTCTGTAAAAAAAATCAATAAAATTTATAAAATAAAATAAAAAGGAAGATGAAGGACAAGTACCCGTTTCATCCACAGGAGCCATAAGCGTTTCGTTCCCCAAGTCCGTGGCCCAGATGGACGTGACCTCAACCTTGAATTTCTCGTAAACGTAGATCTGCCTGGCGTCGAGCAGATTGTAGATGGAGAAGCCCTTGGCTCCCGCAACAAACACATAGTCTTGGGAAACCGCTAAGCATCGTGGCCTTTTGCTGAGCTGGGAAAACAAAGAACAAAGAGAAAGAAAGAAAGAACGGAAAAAAAAAAAAAAAGGATGATTTTTTTTTCAGCTGTCACTTTCTGCAAACAACCTACGTTGACATTTCAAAGAGGGATCTAGGCCCTTCCTAGATAGAATATCATCCCCAAACACAGGGCTCGTGTCCACATTTTGCTCACATAGCGAGAAGTCATAGCCGCTCTGGCCGGTGTGGCTCAGTGGATAGAGCATCAGCCTGCAGATCAAAGGGTCCGATTCCGGTCAAGGGCATGTATCTTGGTTACAGGATCCTCCCCGGCCTGGGCCCTAGTCAGGGCCAGGGCAGGAGGCAACCAATCGATGTGTTTCTCTCACATGGTTGTTTCTCTCTGTCTTTCCTTCCCTCTTCCACTCTCCCTAAAAATCAATAGAAAAAATATCTTCGGGTGATGATTAACAATAAATAAATAAATAAATAAATAAATAAATAAATAAATAAATAAAGGAAAATAAGAGGAAGTTCATAGCACTCCACTTTTAGTGGATTGTGCCCGCAACCAAGGTACATGCCTCTGACCTTGGACCCTTGAGTCCACAGGCCGATGCTCTATCCACTGACCCAAACCGGCCAGTAGAATCTTTTAAAAAATGCAGCTGTCTTATTGAACGAAGGAAATCCTGGTAGGAAATCCTTTCCGGGATGAGGTGTTCTCATTTATTATTTATTAGAGGCCCAGGGCACGAAATTTGTGCAAAGGGTAGGCCCTCACAGCCCTGGCTTTGTCCTGGAGGTAGTCCGGGTGGGCCTTCTGCTGTTCGATCTAATTAGCACATTAGCTCTTTATTATATAGGATATAGAGAGGGGGAGAGAGAGAGAGAGAAACATCAATGATGAGAGAGAATCAGGGACCGGCTACCTCCTGCACCGCCCCACACCGGGGATCAAGCCCACGAACCCCGGCCTGTGCCCCGACCGGGAATCAAACCGAGACCTCCTGGTTCCTAGGTCGACGCTCACCCACTGAGCCACACCGGCTGGGCCGTGTTTTCCTTTGCCAACAACCCAGCGGAGAAGCAGGGACCCGGGTCAGCTTCCTCGTACCTTTTTTTAATTTATTTTTTAATATATATTTTATTGATTTTTTTACAGAGAGGAAGGGAGATAGAAACATCAATGAAAGAGAGAGTCATTGATCAGCTCTGCCTCTTGCACGCCCCCTACTGGGGATGTGCCTGCAACTAAAGGTACATGCCCTGGACCGGAATCGAACCCCGGGACCCTTCAAGTCCGCAGGCTGATGCTCTAACCACTGAGCAACACTAGTTTCGGCAGCTTTCCCCGTCCGTACCTTGCTTTCTGAAACCGGAGGGTAGACGGTGGGCCGGATCCGACTGAGCTCCACCTCCCTCCGCAGGTCCCTCTCCTCGATGATCCCCCAGGCCCGGTCGAACAGCAGGTTCACCAGCTTGTTGATCATCCGGTACGGCTGAGGCAGGGCGTCCAGCGCCTGGAGCGGGTCCCGGAAGACGTAGCCCTCCTGGTCGTCCTTGGACCAGTCCTTCTCCGAAGGCGTGGGCACCTCCTGCTGCCCCTTCTGCGTGAACAGAGGTAGCTTCATCTTCTGGGCGCGGCTTCCGTCGGGGGACGACATCACGGGAGGAGGCGGCGCTGGGAGCGGCTCGGATACCCGAGGAGCTGACTTGAGGAAGGGAAGAAAGACGTCAGAGAAAAGAGGGATGTTCGGACCTCGCCAGTGTGGCTCAGTGGATAGAGCATCGGCCTGCGGACGGAAGGGGTCCCAGGTTCGACTCCGGGCAAGGGCACGGATCCCCAGTAGGAGACGTGCAGGAGGCAGCCGATCAATGATTCTCTCTCATCCTCGATATGTGTGTGTGTCTCTCTCTCTCTTCCTTCCCCTCTGAAATCAATCAAAATATATGTAGTCCTAGCTGGTTTGGCTCAGCAGATAGAGCGCTGGCCTGCAGACTGAAGGGTCCCGGGTTCGATTCCGGTCAAGGGCATGTATATTGGTTGCGGGCACATTCCCGTAGGGGTGTGCAGGAGGCAGCTGGTCGATGTTTCTCTCTCATTGATGTTTCTAGCCCTCTATCCCTCTCCCTTTCTCTCTCTGTGGAAAATCAATAAAATATATATATATTTTTAAAAAATTTAAAAATTGCTATGTTATGGATGGGTTTCCGTGTCTTCAAGCCCCACAGGAGGACCGTCCATTGGTGCAATTTCATTGTCATCTAGTTTTGACCCCACTTTGTTCGCGGTAACCATTTTAGGATTTCCTCCAGTAGCAATCTTCATTCAGGAATCCTACCAGATAATTCTCCCACTGGACCCGGCCCTCCTGCTAGGAATTCACTCCTCCGATCGGCTTATCTCTGCTCCCACCCTGAGCTCCCGCAGAGCTGGAGCTGATGCTGCTGCAGGGACCCCCGAGGCACAGATCAGGAGGGAATGTGTAGCCTTGCAGTCCCCGAGCGGAAGCTCAGGGGAACCTCCATTCGGGTCCTACCTGGGGTTCCTGGGGGCCCGGGAATTGCCCGTGACCAGGAGACGGGCCCCTTGGAGCCCCCTCGAGGCGATCGGGATGTAAACGGAGCCTCAGGGCGCGTGGGAAGCGCTTGCCCTGGCAGAGCGGAAGCGGGCGTTTCCGCTCACCTGGCCGGCGGCTTGGGCGTCGCCTTGGCAACCACAACTTCCGGTCCAGACCGGAAGTCCGAGAAAGTCGCACTTCGCGCCGCCCGCCGGCCCCGCTGGCGGAGAGGCCCTGCCCCTGCGGCGTCCGAGGCCGGCCTCCCGGGGGGGCCCGCGGCGCCCCGAGGACTCGCGGCCCCGGCCGGGCTCCGTGTGGCCGGCGGCCGGCGCCATGGAGGCCTTCACCCGCTTCACCAACCAGACGCAGGGCCGCGACCGGCTCTTCAGGTGAGGCAGGTGCCGCCGCCTCCGCCCCCCTTCGCCCCTCTGGGCCCCGCACCCCGGGAAGGGGGTCAGGCCGCCGGCTCTGGGGGGGGGGGGGGGGCTGGGGTCTGGCCTGTCACCCCGAACCCGGCGGGGCGGGCCGCGAACCCGCGCCTGTCACGCTGGGCGGGCGGCGCGCCCCCTTCTCCCAGCCCGGGGACACGGTTCTCCGAGCGCTGATTTTTAAAGAAACTTTGGGGTGACTTTTGTGTCCAAGGATCCGAGCCCTTGCGGGGGGCCTCACACCGCGCACAAAGGCACATGGAGAGACGGGAACGTGGGTTGTTACCTTCTCCACCTTCTGGGTGGGAACGGGGGGGGGGGGGGGGGGACGAACAGCATTCAGTACACCAGGTGGTTTCCGTACCAATGAGCTCCTGATGCTTTTATTTTATTTACTTATTTATTTTTTTAAATTTTATTGATTTTTTACAGAGGAAGAGAAAGGGATAGATAGAAACATCGATGAGAGAGAATCATCCATCAGCTGCCTCCTCCACACCCCACCACTGGGGATGTGCCCGCAACCAAGGTATGTGCCCTTGACCGGAATCGAACCTGGGACCCTTCAGTCCGCAGGCTGATGCTCTATCCACTGAGCCAAACCGGCTTTGGCTACTTATTTTAATTTATTTCAGAGAAGCAGGGAGAAGGAGAGAAACATCAATGATGAGAGGGAATCGTGGATCGGCTGCCTCCTGCACGCCCCCTAGTGGGGATGGAGCTCACAACCCCAGGCATATGCCCTGACCGGGAATCGAACCGTGACCTCCAGGTTCAAAGGTCCCAGCTCAACCCCTGAGCCACGCTGGCCGGGCAGCTCCTGATGTACTTTAAGGAATTCTTTTGATTCTTGTACATTTATTTTATTTTATTTTTTAATTTTTATATATTTTATTGTTTTTTTACAGAGAGGAAGGGAGAAGGATAGAGAGCTAGAAACATCAGAGAGAAACATCCATCAGCTGCCTCCCGCACATCTCCCACTGGAGATGTGCCTGCAATGAAGGTATATGCCCTTGACCGGAATCGAACCTGGGACCCCTTCAGTCCGCAGGCCGATGCTCTATCCACTGAGCCAAACCGGTTAGGGCTGCACATTTATTTTTCAAAAAACTATTACGGTTGCAGTTTGATTGAATAGCTTTTCCTCTTTCGGGTGTAAAGTGGTGACACAAGCAGGCCAGTGAGCATGGCCCCAGGAAGGAGACTTATTGTCCCGAGTGGGTTGGGCTGAAACTGTACTCCCAGAGGATCATCCGTGAGGCCGGCTAATGAAATAATTGCTCAGGATGTACTTACTCAGCAAGGCCTGAAATCTCTCAGATTCATTTCCCAATCCTCTTGGTCAACTCCAGCTTCTAAGAACAAACTGGCATTCATAAAAGAATGCCTTGTTTTTTGACGCATTCCTGTTATTTGACCAAATCTGAGAATGTGAACAGCTTGAGCCTTCTAGCCACGAAGCATACTAAGGGGCGTGTGTGTGTGTGTGTGTGTGTGTGTGTGTGTGTGAGAGAGAGAGAGAGAGAGATTATTTTATATTTCATCACTTCGGAAAATGTGCTACATTTTATTTTATTATTTTTAAAAAATTAACATTTTTCTTTTTCTTTTTTACATTTTATTGATTTTTTTACCGAGAGGAAGAAAGAGAGAGTTAGAAACATCGATCAGCTGCCTCCTGCACCCCCCCCCCCCAACTGGGAATGTGCCCGCAACCAAGGTACATGTCCTTGACCGGAATCGAACCTGGGACCTCTCAGTCCGCAGGCCGACGTTCGATCCACTGCGCCACACCGGTTTCAGTTACATTTTATTTTTATTTTTAAATATATTTTTATTGATTCCAGAGAGGAAAGGAGAGGGAGAGACATCAATAATCAGAGAATCATTGATCAGCTGCCTGCTGCACACCCCCTACTGGGGATCGAGCCCAAAACCCAGGCATGTGCCCTGACCAGTATCAAATCCGAGACCCTTCAGTCCACAGGCAGATGCTCTATCCACTGAGCCAAACTGGCTAGGGCAACATGTGATGTAATTTGAGAGTGTAGGGGTTCAGAATGAGTCACCCCAAGATGTTCCTCTGTGCTATGTGGATTATTTTGAGCTAAAGGCAACCGAGACCCCCCCCTCAGGCTCAAGAAAAATGTCTGCCCCACCCTCTTAACTACCTAGAAGAATTTAAATTAGGGGCCTTGTCCATAATAAGAGTTGTCACCGGAAGTAACTTTTATGACATATCTGTAGGGCGGAGCAAACTTCTAATTATTGCACGTCTGTGCATCTTATTTGTCCTTTGAATCACCTTCCTTCCCTCGAGCCCCAAGGCGCCTTACCTCATCCTTACCTCAGTTTCCCTTTCTGTGTCTGAACCGTTCATGTACGTGGAGTTCCCATGGAAAAACATGCAATTAAATTAGACTATTTTCTCTGGTTCATTTGTCTCACGTAGATTTAATTATTAGACCAGAGATAGAGTAATATTTACAGCACAAAGGGATGCAGATACAGTTACAGGACAGCGAGGAAACAGGCACCTACTTCATAAATAGACTGCCACGTGCATTCAGATGTTCCACTATGGGGTATAACATGGCTCATTCGCTTTATTTCTGTGAGTAAGGCATTGTTATTTGCAGACATGGCAATCATCACTTCATTGAACGTTTGGTATTCTTAAACAGGAGTCTGGCTGTATTTTCCATACAATATGAATTAGTTTGGAAAGACATATCTACACTTGGTTATGCATGGGTGTGTATATGCTAGTCATAAAAAAAAAATCAAACGATGGTCACACTGTAGACTTTTTTTTTTTTTTTAATATATTTTATAATTTTTTAAAGAGAGGAAGAGAGAGGGAAAGAGAGCCAGAAACATCGATGAGAGAGAATCATGGACCAGCTGCCTCTTGCACACCCCCTAATGGGGATGTGCCCGCAACCAAGGTCCATGCCCTTGACTGGAATCGAACCCGGGACCTCTCAGTCCGCAGGCCGACGCTCTACCCACTGAGCCAAACCGGTTTCAGCTAGACTTTTCATTGGCTTCTAGTTCGAGCCACTCCTGCCACATAAGTGCTTGGTTAACTCTGTGGCAAAAAGTTCACTTTAGAAAGAGGCAGTGAACTTGAGAAAATAAAGACCGTGGGTCTTTGCAGGCTTAGCACGAGGGAGGTGTCTGTGCCAGCAAAAGGCCCTCGGACGGGCTGCTCTCTGCATCCTCGCGAGATCTCCTGCATCACCTTTGAGTTGCATTTCCATCATTGCATCCTCCCCTTTGGTCCCGTGCAGTGCCTCTTGCAGAATCCTGCTCTTGGGAGGGCCGCTTGCGTGAGAAATGGCCTTGGAAGCTTTGCCTCTCGCAAGCCCTCTTCCTCCTCCCCTTACTTCACGGATCCGGTTTTATTTGGTTTGCCAATCCTCCGCCTCATTTTTATTTTTATTTTTTTACTTTTCCCGTTTCAGAGCCACTCAGTACACATGCATGTTGCTTAGGTATTTGTTAGAGCCCAAAGCTGACAAAGAGAAGGTGGTAATGAAGCTCAAGAAACTGGAGTCTAGTGTGAGCACTGGCCGCAAATGTAAGTACCCCGTTTGTTCTCAAGGGCCGGCGGGCCCTGGTGTGGACCCTCGGGCTCCGTAATCCGCAAAACACTTTCCAGAACGTTCCTTTCTAGTCAGGCTGGCTGATGAAGCCAGCCAGTCGGTCCGCCCTCATGGAATGACAAGGCCCCACAAGGGGACTGTTCTGCTCCTCGGACCATTCACAGACACGTGCAGTGCTCCCAGTCGGTACTCCTCCACATCTTTCCCGTCAGCCACCACCCATGGGGCACACACCGTGTTAGCTCACCTGTATTTATTCATTCTTCAAATATATTTTTATTGATTTCAGAGAGGAAGGGAGAGAGAGAGTGAGAGAAAGAGACACACATCAATGATGAGAGAGAACCTGCCTCCTGCACACCCCCTACTGGCGTGGGGGATCGAGCCCACAACCCGGGCATGTGCTCTTGACGGGAATCGAACCCAGAACCCATCACTCCGCAGGCCGGCGCTCTATCCACTGAGCCAAACCGGCTAGGGCTGGTTCACCTTTGGTTCTTAGAATCACCACATGTTTGGGCATGAGCTCGGCCTCCTGGAGCCCCTTGTATTCTCTGGAAGAACAGAATAGCCGCATCCTGAACCCCCCTTTCTCTTGAGGGATTGCTAGAGGAAATGGACAGAGTCGGTTTATATACATACATATATTGATTTCAGAGAGGAAGGGAGAGGGAGAGAGAGAGAGAAACATCAATGATGAGAGAGAATCATTGATTGGCTGCCTCCTTCCCGCCTCCGCCTGAGGACGGAGCTCACAACCTGGGCATGTGTCCTTGACCGGAATCGAACCTGGGGACCCTCCAGCCCGCAGGCCGACGCCCTGTCCACTGAGCCAAACCAGCTAAGGGCGGATACGTTCTCTTACACCAACTGTGGCATGGTTTCACGTCAAAGGCAAACAGTGAAGTCAGGTGTCTCACGCTCACTTAGTTCACTCGGCCAATAAGGCATAGTGGGAAACCTGTCTTTCCGGTAACAGTCCTGTGGCCGACGCCTGGCCTTCTGGGGAGAGCCAGAAGCGGCCACGGCCGGTGAGCAGGGACCCAGAGGAAATGTGGAAATCAGCTGTTGTGCAATTATTGATGAGCGCCTACCTCCGGGAGGCAGGGCCCCGAGCTCTGTGGGAGCACGGAGAGCACGTGGTGTGATAACGCTATTAGATTTGGTGCCAGATGTGGTTGGGGAGGACGGGGAAGGCATCTTGAGGCGGTGGGCCAGGGGCGTGGCTAGCAAGAGGAGGAAGGAGAGCGTCTTTGGAGGTGGATAACTCCAGGGAGGACTCGGACTCTTTAAGTGTTGGAGGATCAGCGAGAAAACTGGTTTGACAAGAGAAGACTTGACGTCGTTCATGAGGGAAGGGAAGGGCAGGGTGAGCTTTTCCGGGTGGCTCGGGAGAGCAAGATGGACGTTCTCAGGTTCTTCAGGGTGTTGGGGCTCAGAGGCCCTTGGCAGGTCACCCGTCTCTGAGGTCCAGAAATGACTTGCCCAAGGTCACTCAGTCACTTAGTGCAAGAGGCGGAATGGAACCCGGGATTACCCGCTGAGTTCTGTGTCCTGCGTTCCCTTTGATAAGATGATACCGAACATTCTTCGGAGATTCTAAGTTTCCTGGGGGAAGCTACTTCGGAGCATTTGCCGAGTCTAAGATGCAGTTCTTTAAGGAAAGTACTTCTTTGGTTACCCTCCATAGTATTTAGGATAGTAATACATACTGAGTATTGACAGATGTGTAAATATTTGATTGATAAATCCATGACTGATGGAATTACAGGCTCAGATAAAGGCATGTCTTGCAGTGATTGATTTAAGTCACTAAAAGTCATATATGACAATATTACTTACTAGTTGTCCTATACACTAAATCCTACCATTTTTTAAATTTTTAAAAAAATATTTATTTATTTTTTATCTTTATTTTTCTTACCCTAACCCTAACCCTATAATTTTTTAAAAATATATTTTTATTAATTTCAGAGAGGAAAGGAGGAGAGATAGAAGCATCAATGATGAAAGAGAATCATTGATCAGCTGCCTCCTGCACGCCCCCTACTGGGGATCATATGTCAGCAACTCGGACAATATGCCCTGAACTGTGACCTCCTGGTTCAAAGGTCAACGCTCAACCACTGAGCCGGTTATTTACTTTGTCTTGACAGTAGGAGCCGAAGGGGGTTGGGCCAGAGAAATGGCAAATGGATAATGGTGTTGTTTTCAAAGCAATCTTTTGCGTGGAAAGGAAATAAAATGCAGGGCACCAGACGCTCCAGAAGAATGCTGCATCTGGAGGTCACGTTACCATAGAGTCTGGTCCCGTGTGGATGGACAGTGCCCACTCTGCCTGACCTCGAGTGCCCGGTATTGTAATGGAGGCAGGAAAGTCCCGGAGCCACCGACCGTGCCTTCCGGAGTCATTTTATTTGTTTGTCCATTTGTGTTAATCCTCACCCGAGGATATTTTTCCATTGATGTTTAGGGAGAGTGGAAGAGAGAGGGAGAGTCAGAGAGAAACATAGATGTGAGAGAGACACATCAATGGGCTGCCTCCTGCATGAACCCCGACCAGGGCCCGGGCCGGGGAGGAGCCTAAAACCGAGGTACATGCCCTTGACCGGAATCAAACTCAGCCCTTGGATCCGCAGGTTGACGCTCTGTCTGTCCACTGAGCCACACAGGCCAGGGCTGGGATCATGTTAGGTGTCCGAGACCTGCTGCTGGCCTCTCCCTGGCACAGCTAAATAACCGTTTGCTGCCGTGGGTTCTTGCAGGGTTCAGGCTGGGCAACGTGGTCCACGCTGTGCAGGCCACTCAGCAGAGCATCCACGCCACGGACCTGGTGCCCCGCCTGTGCCTGACCCTCGCCAACCTGAACCGCGTGGTCTACTTCATCTGTGACACCGTCCTGTGGGCGAGGAGCGTCGGGCTCAGCTCCAGCATCAACAAGGAGAAATGGCGGATGTGGGCCGCCCGCTACTACTGCTGTTCGCTCCTGCTGAGCCTGGCCAGGGACCTGTACGAGATCTCCCTGCAGATGGAGCAGGCCGCGCGGGACAAAGCCCGGAGGGACGAGGCGCCCTCCCAGGATCCCCTGGGGCACTGCGTGGCCGACGAGGAGACGGAGTGGCTCCAGTCCTTCCTCCTGCTCCTGTTCCGGTCGCTGCGGAGGCATCCCCCTTTGCTCCTGGACACGGTGAAGAACCTCTGTGACATCCTGAACCCTCTGGACCAGCTGGGCATCTATAAGTCCAACCCCGGCGTCATTGGCCTCGGGGGCCTCGTGTCCTCGGTGGCCGGGATCATCACGGTGGCCTGGCCCCACCTGAAGCTGAAGATCCACTGAGGCAGCTCCGGGCTCAGGACGGGCACCTCCCGGGGGGGATGGACGTTTGCAATCGGCACGGACCATGAGCACTTAGCAGCCTGGAGCGCGAGCAGAGGTCGGGGCCAAGGACGGAGGAGGGGCCTCATAAGGATTTCCATATTGTTTGGAGTGCCGCGATGACTTCTGAGTTCCTGAGTATTTTCCCCTTCGTCTGACATTCACTGGGCCGCTCTTCTGCACACAGTAGGAGCTTGTGTTCGCCGAATGAATAAACATGGGGAGAAAAGAAACTTAAAGATCCAAGCTAATAAGCGAGCGCTGACACACAGTAATGTTCGGGCTGTGCCGCCTCACTGCTTGACTCACAGCCCTCAGATCAGCGGAGGCCCCTTCCTCCATAGAGCCCAGGCGGGATGCGGGGAGCTGGGGGTTACAGCCTGGGGAATCGCTCCGCCCTGACCACTGCACCCCTGCCCTCCTGTCCGGAAGTGGATCAGAAAGGCACCTCCAAGGTATCAGTTGTGTCCGAGGTAGCGCAGTGGCCGAGCACTTAGAACTCAAGGCAAAAAGAACGTGGGAGGTCACCCCGGGGTAGCCTGTGACACAGGAGGACACGGGGTTTAAAGAAAGCCATCCAGAACCTCACTCCCCTGCCTGCCAGTCCAAGGCCACTCAGGCCCGAGCGCAAGAGCCGGAACCCGGACCATCGCCTCCATGACAGCTCGCTGCCGTCTGGCTGGAGGGCCATGGGAGACTCAGAATCCCACGATGCAAGAAGCCTTTCTGAGAATCTGTGTTGGTCAGTGGTTTCTATTTTCTCCAAAAATTCAAACTATAGGGTCCTCCCCCACCCCCCTAGAAATGTATACACACACTTTGAATAATCACAAAGGCAGTGTTTATTAAAATTCGACTTATTCTCAAAATTGAGCTGTTGCTGTGTAGTTACATTTTTCGGTGGGGGTAGGGGGGCTCCCTGTATATTTAGACTTGTCAGCAAGACTTTTAATTGAGAGCCATATGACAGTTTGGACATTTCCACATGAGTTGATGCAATGAAGTGTCACAAGAACTCTGAATGTCGGAGGGTTGCTGCTTTCTGTGATCAGTCACGCTGCGTATGTGAGGGGGGCTGGGAGGAAGACGGAGCCATAGCTTTAGTGAAGGAGAGGCCACTTAACTCGTGTTCCTACTTCTCATCTTGGTGTCGGGGTTTTTTGTGATCGCAGAGCTAAGCTTGTGATTGAGCTTCTTAGAAGTAAGCTCAGGTTCTTGGCTCTTTATTTTTTTAAATATATTTTATTGATTTTTTTTACAGAGAGGAATGGAGAGTTAGGAACATACATGAGAGAGAAACATCGATCAGCTGCCTCTTGCACACACCTTACTGGGGATGTGCCCCCAACCAAGATACGTGCCCTTGACCGGAATCGAACCTGGGACCTTTCGGTCCGTAGGCTGACGCTCTATCCACTGAGCCACACCGGTTTCGGCTTGGCTCTTTATTTTTAAAGCCATCAAGATTCAGAATTCGAGAAGAAACCTTGTGGGGATCTTCAGAGACGTGAAAGCTGCTAGATCAGGGCACATAAAATGGTTAAACCACTCTTGATACTTTGTTCAGATCCTTTACTGCAATAGATTAAATATGTCCAATTAAATTTCTAGACAAAACTGACTGTGTCTGTGAGTGTTTTGTGGGCATGGCGAAGCATTTATTTATTTATATTTATTATTATTATTTTTTTTAATGTATTGATTTTTTTACAGAGAGGAAGGCAGAGGGATAGAGAGCTAGAAACATTGATGATGAGAGAAACATCGACCAGTTGCCTCCTGCACACACCCCCCACTGGGGATGTGCCCGCAACCAAGGCACATGCCCTTGACCGGAATCGAATCCGGGACCTTTCAGTCTGCAGGCCGACGCTCTATCCACTGAGCCACACCGGTTTCGGCCGAAGCATTTAAAGGAAGGCGATCCTGAGACGACCTTCAGCGGAGTCTGCGCAGTGAGCTGGCAGCGTGGGCTCTGGCCTGGAACCCCCGCCGAGGAGGACGGTGAAGAGGCACCTGAGTCGCCAGAGGTTCGACAATGCTCTCATCCGGCTGCTACCCAGGCAAGGTCCTCTGTCAGCCCCAAGGTGGGGTTTTGCTTCTCCCGGAGGCACGTTACAGTGGTGTCCTGGTGGTACTGTGTCTTTTCCTTTTTCAAATATATTTTTATATTGATTTCCGAGACGAAGGGAGCGGGAGACAGAAAGAAATCGCAATGATGAGAGGGAAGTTCCCCTCACCGGGGATCGAGTCCCCAACCCGGGCATGTGCCCTGACGGGGAATCGAACAGTGACCACCTAGTTCATAGGTCAGTGCTCAACCACTGAGCCACACCAGCCGGGCTCATGGCGGTACTTTTTTGTCCTGGCCAAGGTAGAGCAGGTGGTGGGGAGTCTGGGGAGTGTGCCTCTTTTAGAATGTGTGTGTCCTGGTACCTCCCTCCCTGTGCACCTGTTTAACTCACACCCCCACCTCCGAGCCTCCACATTCAGGAGTGACTCAAAAAGCAAGACGCTCCTGATAAATGTACAGCCAGCACCTTCCCCACTGAACCCATTGCCTGAGAAATGCATTCAGGACCGAAACCTGTGTGGCTCAGTCGATAGAGCGTCGGCCTGCAGACTGAAAGGTCCCAGGTTCGATTCCGGTCAAGGGCATGTACTTTGGTTGCGGGCACATCCCCGGCAGCTGGTCGATGATTCTCTCTCATCGATGTTTCTAACTCTCTATCTCTCTATCCTCCTCTCTGTAAAAAATATTTTAAAAAAAAGAAAAGAAAAGAAAAATGAATTTAGGGGTGAGCATCTGAGTGCCTTGCCTGGTCTGGGACCCGCTGTGCACAGATGGCAAGGTCCCCTGTGCCTGTGTGGTGGTGTGTGTGGTGGGCATGGCGGGGGCTGGCAGACAGATGGGGGTAGAAGGTAACCGTGTCCTTGAAGCTGCTGCCGGAAAGCGGACCCTTCCCAGGGGCCTCCCCTGGCCCTTTCACCCCGCTCCCCTCTCACCCACAGCCCGGCCGCCCGGCAGCCTGGCCAAAGGACCAGCCATGTCAGCAGCTCGGGGCCCAGCGCCCTCTCCTCTCTCTGGCCCGCAGCCACTCCTCCACGGGCTGGGGCTGCCCTTTGGCCGGCTTGCTCTCCAGACACAGCCCCTGGCTATGGTCCTGAACCCGCCCCAGGGCAGAGGGCATGTCTTAGACACACCCCAGCTTCCCCCCCCTCCCCCCCGCCACCATTACCCATTTCATTCTTGAAGTCTGGGTCGGACCCATAAGTAGTGAATGTATCAGCTAGGACTCCCAGTTCTACTCTCCCTTCACCTCCCAGTTCCTGCTTTATTGTCTTACAGGTACAGACTGGACTATAAGAATCTATCATAGAGCTTCATTTTTCCCCACCCTCTGCCCCTCTCTCTCTCTCTCTCTCTCTTTTTAAAAAATATATTATATTGATTTTTTACAGAGAGAAAGAAGGACAAAGAATCAGAAACATTAATGAGAGAGAAACATCAATCGGCTGCCTCCTGCACGCCCCCTACTGGGGATGTGCCCGCAACCAAGGTTCATGCCCTTGACCGGAATCGAACCCGGGACCCTTCAGTCCGCAGGCTGACACTCTATCCACTGAGCCAAACCGGTTTCAGCAGATCCCCCCATCATTTGCAGCCAGGAACCGGGCCTCGGGCTTAGCCTGACCCGTGGCTAAGGCAGGGGTGTGAGGCCATGGTTCCTGGTTGCTAATCAGTGACAGGATCAGGTGTCTCTCTATCAGCATGTTCTGGTGGCATCTTAGAGCAGGTGGAGTTCAAGAAATTTTCTGGAGACCTGACCGGTGTGGCTCAGTGGGTAGAGCGGCGGCCTGCAGACTGAAGGGTTCCGGGTTCGATTCCGGTCAACGGCATGTACCTTGGTTGTGGGCACATCCCCAGTGGGGGTTGTGCAAGAGGCAGCTGATCGATGTTTCTCTCTCATTGATGTTTCTAATTTTCTATTCCTTTCCCTTGCTCTCTGTAAAAAAAAAGTCAATAAAATATATTTAAAAAGAAAAAAAAGAAAGAAATTTCCTTGAAATGTAGGAATGAAGCTACTCCTGCAAAAGCTGGACTGTCAGCGAGTCCACCCCAGCTTGGGTTCCCTTCCTCACTGAGAACCCTAGCCGGTGTTGCTCAGTGGGTAGAGCGCCGGCCTGCGGACTGAAGGGTTCCAGGTTCGATTCCAGTCAAGGGCTCATGTCCGGGTTGTAGGCTCCATCGCCAGTGGAGGAATGTGCAGGAGGCAACCCATCTATGATTCTCATCATTGTTGTTTCTCTCTCTCTCTCATCCTCTCCCTTCCGCTCTGAAATCAACACAAATTTTTAAAGACAATCCCTCTGATGGTAATAATAAATTTACGCAGCACCTTCTGTGGAAGAGGAGCGAAAAGGTATATCACGTGAGAGCTCCCACGTTTAATGACACGTACCCCCACACCTTCCGTTCTGGAAAAACCGGATTTTGAGAACTGGGGGCCAGAGACCTGTTACGGAGTGGATGGAAAGCTCTAGAATCATGAGTGCTCTGAGCCTGGGTCCCCTTTCAGCTCTGCCATCTACCTCCCTCCTACTTGGCTCCATCCTACAGAAGTTAGGCTATCCCCAGGGGGACCCTGGGTCCAGTAACCACGGCAGCGGACTGACTAAGCTTTCTCCTCTCTGCCCTCCTCTAGCTGGGAGGTGTCAGCGGCATTGCCCAACACTCCTCGGAGCGACCAGGATTGTTTCTGTCGGAGGAGACACTGCAGCCGGGGCTCTGGGACAGAGGAGGCGTCAGCCCGAGTGAGTGTGGGGGTCCCGGGACACCTGCCTTGCCTGCCTTACCTGGTTGGTCTCTGAGGGTCCGAGGGAAGACGTGGAGGGTCGGGGTCTCCCGGGAATTTGCCGGGTGAATGACCGAGAGCGTAGATTCGATAGTCTGGGGCTGCCGGCTCTTCCAGATCGCATTCAGAAATAGCTGGTTTTCAGAGCGACTCCTTTCTCGCCTGGCTGAGTACAGAGGGGAGGACTGAATGAGTGCAAAACTTTCCCTTTGTTAAGAAATATGATTTTATTAATGTTAAAGGGAGAGAGGGAGACATGGATCAGCTGCCTCCTGCACACCCCTAATGGGGACCAAGCCCTCAACCCGGGCATGTGCCCTGACCGGGGAATCGAACCAGCAACCTTCGGATGTATGGATGATGCCCAGCCAACCGAGTCACTCGGCCAGGGATAAACCTCTTAACTTTTTTTTTTTTTTTAATATATTTTATTGTGTTTGTTTGTTTGTTTTTTTACAGAGAGGAAGGGATAAGGATAGAGAGTTAGAAATATTGATGAGAGAGAAACATCGATCAGCTGCCTCCTGCACACCTCTTAAGGGCCGAACCATTTAACTCTTAAAGTGACCTTTGCTTTTTTACTTCTTATGCTGCATCCTTGTAAGAAACACCAATCTTTTTCTTTTTTTAAAAAAAATATATATTTTTATTGATTTTAGAGAGAAAGGGGGAGAGAGAGAAATATCAATAACAAAAGAGATTCATGAATCGGCTGCCTCCTGCAAGCCCCTTCCTGGGGATCGAGCCTGCATCCGGGGCATGTGCCCTGACTGGGAATCGAACCCGGGACCTCCCTGAGCCACCACAACCAGCAGAAATGCCAGTCTTTTTTTTTTTTTTTTTTTTTAATATATTTTATTAAAATTTTTAAAAAATATATTTTATTGAAATTTACAGAGAGGAAGGGAGAGAGATAGAGAGTTAGAAACATCAATGAGAGAGAATCATCGATCAGCTGCCTCTTGCACACCCCCTACTGGGGATATGCCCGCAACCAAGGTACATGCCCTTGACCGGAATCGAACCCGGGACCCTTGAGTCCGCAGGCCGACGCTCTATCCACTGAGCCAAACTGGTTTTGGCATATTTTATTAAATTTTTACAGAGAGTAAGGAAGAGGGAGAGAGAGCTAGAAATATCGATGAGAGAGAAACATCGATCAGCTGCCTCCTGCACAGTCCCCACCATGGATGTGCCCGCAACCAAGGTGCATGCCCTTGAAACGAATCGAACCTGGGACCCTTGAATCCGCAGGTCGACGCTCTATCCACTGAGCCAAACCGATCAGGGCAGAAACTGCCAGTCTTGACAAGCAGGTTGTGGGTGCCTCATCCCGGCGGGACCCCCAAGAGTGGCTGCTTGTCTGTGTCATCCGCCCTCCGGCCTAGGGCCTCCCGTTCAGGGCAACCCTGCCCCTGGGCAGCCTGGGCCCTGCTGGTGGCCCGAGAGGGAGGGACGGACCCTGGGCGCCCGCAGCTGCGGGTTTGCTGACGCGCCGGGGCCTTCTGCTTTGCAGCGTGAGGAGCTACGATGGCCGTGAACAAGAGCCCCCCCGTGATGGACGGAGACTGCCCTGTAAGTAGCCTGGGTGCGTGCTTGCAGTGGGGGGGACCCCGGGCTGAGGAGGGAGCCTCGAGGGGAGGCGAGGGGGACGTGGAGCAAGATGCATCTAGAGCCATGGTCAGCAAACTGCGGCTCGCGAGCCACCTGCGGCTCTTTGGCCCCTGGAGCGTGGCTCTTCCACAAAACACCACGGCTTGGGCGAGTCTGTGTTGAAGAAGCGGTGTCAGAAGAAGTTTAAGTTTAAAAAATGTGGCTCTCCAAAGAAATGGCAATTGCTCTGCTGTTGATGTTTGGTTCTGCTGACTAATGAGTTTGCCGACCACCGGCCTATAAGAACCCCTGAGGACTCTGTCCAAAGCATTAAAGATGTCGGCTGTTTGCAGTCAGGATCTTTTTCTGGTTCAGATTTCAAACTCATCCGCAGGACAGGAGCTCAGACGCTGTGGCCTGGGTCTGGTGGCCGCACACACCTCTTTGGCGGGTCTCTAGCTCAGCGGGCACGTCTGGGTGTTCGCCTCCCCCCCCGCAGAACCACGTACCTGTGGCAAATGCAAAGCGAGTCAGAGCTGGGGACCTTTCTTCTTTTCCTTTTTTTAAAAAAAAAAAATATATATTTTTATTGCCGAAACCAGTTTGGCTCAGTGGATAGTGCGTTGGCCTGCGGACTGAAAGGTCTCAGGTTTGATTCCGGTCTAGGGCATGTGCCTTGGTTGCGGGCGCATCCCAGTGGGGGGTGTGCGAGAGGCAACTGATTAATGTTTCTGGCTCTCTATCCCTCTCTCTTCCACTCTGTAAAAAAATCAATAAAAATATATTAAAAAAAATTATATATATATATATATATATATATATATATATATATATATATATATATTGGTTTCAGGGAGGAAGGGAGAGGGAGAGAGAGAGAGAAACATTAATGATGAGAGAGAATCACAGATCGGCTGCTTCCTGCATGCCTCCTACTGGGGATCGAGCCTGCAATCTGGGCATGTGCCTTTGACCAGGAATCAAACCCAGGCCCCTTCAGTCTGCTCTATCCACTGAGCCAAACCAGCCAGGGTGAGAAATCCTATCAAATAAAAGGCTAATTTGCAAACCGACCAAACGGCAGATGACCAGTTGCTATGACACTCGCTCACCAGGGGGCAGATGCCCAACACAGGAGCCGCCCCCGGTGAGCTCGGCTCAGCCACAAGCCCTGAGCCGGCTCATGGCTGGCGAGCACAACGGCGGTGCCAGGAGCCTCTCCCCGCCTCCGTGGCAATGCTAAGGATATCCGACTGCCCCCACGGGCTCTCAGACTGCAAGAAGGTGCAGGCGAGGCTGAGGGACCCCCCCTCAGTGCACCAATTTTGTGCACCAGGCCTCTGGACTGAGGGTTAGCCCCCCAGTGCACGAATTCCGTGCACCAGGCCTCTAGGCTGAGGCACCCTGCCCCGAGTGCATGAATTTCATGCACCAGGCCTCTAGCGTTTAGATAAAGCCCCCAAGCCGAGATGGACAGAAGCTCTGCACCCGACGGTGTCAGTGGGTGGGCTGGAGCCTGGTGGGAGGGGGCGCCATGCCCCTGGAGCCTTGCAGAGCTGACCTGTGGCCCGTTTCCCTGTGGGGGGCGTGCAGAGACCACTGAGACCCCCGGCCGGCCTCATCACTGGGCTCTGGGGCCCTGGGGCTGCCTTAGGGGGGCGCGGGGGCAGGACAGGGAGGTGGGGCGACTCCCACGCCTTTGCCTGTCTCCCTCCCACGCCAGGAGCAGGAGAACGTGCTGCAGCGCGTCCTGCAGCTGCCCGTGGTGAGCGGCACGTGTGAGTGCGTGCAGAAGACCTACACCAGCACCAAGGAGGCCCACCCGCTGGTGGCGTCCGTGTGCAACGCCTACGAGAAGGGCGTGCAGGGCGCCAGCAGCCTGGCCGCCTGGGGCATGGAGCCCGTGGTCCGCAGGCTGTCCACCCAGTGTGAGTCCTCGTGGCCCGCAGGCTGCCTGCTGCCTCACGCATGCTCCCTCCCCGCCTGCCCGCCTGCCTGCCCGTCTGTGTGTCCACCCGCCCGTCTGTCTGATGGTCTCCCAGCTTGCTGCTCTGTCTGCTTGCATGTGTGTCTGACTCGGTGCAGAGCCTTCTCACCTGTAGACATGGATGCCAGAGCTATGGGGATGCAGAGCTGGATATAGATACTGCTCGTCTCGTCCATAGATGCCCAGCTGGCATTTTCCTAGGGCCAAGCAATTGGCAGGAGGCGTGGGCAGAGGTGTGGGCGGTGGTGGGAGTGGGCCCCGTGGCGGGTCAGACACCCGCTTCGGCTCCAGATGCAGCCACAGGGACTAGCAGAGCCCGGCACGGAGGCAGGGGCGCCCGGCACCAGGCTGGCCTGCCAGGGCTGGGGAGAGCGGAGGCCAGGGAAGCCCTCGGGGGGGGGGGGGGGGGGGGGGCCAGCAGCTGGTGGTACCAGCTCTTGACACATGGGGGCAGCAGAGGCCCTCGGGCTCTGTGATGCTCGGGAGGGAGCAGGGAAGGGGAAGTGAGGGCTCAGGGCACCTTGCTGGGCACAGAGGCCCCCAGCAAGGTTGTCACAGTGCCCGGAGGGCGCACCCCACCTCGGCCCTTTGCTTCCAGTCACAGCTGCCAATGAGCTGGCCTGCCGAGGCCTGGACCACCTGGAGGAGAAGATCCCGGCCCTGCAGTACCCCCCTGAAAAGGTGAGCCCCTCTCTCTTCTCTCAGGGGCGGGGGGGTGTGGGGTGGGGGCTGTGTGTGCAGGCCCTGGATGCTGTGACTGGAAATGTGTGCACAGGGCATCAGGACATATTTTTATGTCAATATATATATATATATATATATTTTTTTTAATATATTTTATTGATTTTTTACAGAGGGGAAGGGAGAGAGATAGCTAGAAACGTTGATGAGAGAGAAACATTGACCAGCTGCCTCTTGCACACCCCCTACTGGGGATGTGCCCGCAACAATGTATATGCCCTTGACCGGAATCGAACCTGGGACCCTTCAGTCCGCGGACCGACGCTCTACCACTGAGCCAAACCGGTTTCGGCTCAAAATATTTTTTAAAAAATTTAAAAAAATAAAATAAAGGCTCAGGGGACTGGCACCAATATTTGGGCCCTGGATTAAGCAGGGCTTAAGAGGGAAAGGGCTCCAACCCTCCCGTGCCAACCGCCCCGATCACCAGGCTTCTTTGCACTGGTGCTGCCGACTGAGACCCCAAGCCTGAGGGTGCCGATGCTCTATCCATTGAGCCAAACCGGTTTTGGCTAAAATATATTTTTTAAAAAATATTTTTTAAAATTGATTTCAGAGAGGAAGGGAGAGAGAGAGAAACATCAATGATGAGAATCATGGATTGGCTGCCTCCTGCACGCCCCACACTGAGGATCAAGCCTGCAACCCGGGCAGGTGCCCTGACCGGGAATCGAACCGTGAGCTCCTGGTTCCTAGGTCGATGCTCTGCCACTGAGCCACGCCTGGGCCTTGCAAGTACCTGACCCTCCTCCCCACCCCCTCCCTACCCCCAGATCGCCTCTGAGCTGAAGGGCACCATCTCCACCCGCCTCCGCAGCGCCCGGAACAGCATCAGCGTGCCCATCTCCAGCACGTCCGACAAGGTCCTGGGCGCCGCCCTGGCCAGCTGTGAGCTCGCCCTGGGGGTGGCCAAGGACACTGCGGAGTACGCCGCCAAGACCCGCGTGGGCCGGCTGGCCTCGGGCGGCGCCGACCTGGCCGTGGGCGGCATGGAGAAGGTGGTGGAGTTCCTCATCCCTCCAGCCCAGGATGAGTCAGGTACCTGCCCACGGGGGCGCTACTAGTCCCTCCCTGGGGGGTGAGTTGGCTCCTGGAAATGAGCAAAGTGGGCAAAGGCCCATCCAGCCCCTGCTCCGGAGCAGGGGAGACCCCGCGGGGTTTCTGATGCGCCCATTTGCAAGCGGGGGAAAGTGGGGGCCCCGGGGCCCCATGAGCCTGTGGAGCTGGGACAGCAGCTGCAACCCTGACCCTGACCCAGCCCAGTCCTCCCTGCACCCCTGTCTGACCCGCTCTCCCTCCTCTCCCCGCGTCTCCTCCCCAGCCCCCGTGCCGGGACGCCCGCAGGCCCAAAAGCCCCCCAAGGCCGACCGCAGCCTCGCGAGCAGGGTGGGGACCCTGGCCAACACCATCTCTCAGCACACCCTCCAGACCACGAAGCAGGTGCTGAAGCAGGGCCACGCCCTGGCCATGTGGATCCCCGGGGTGGCGCCCCTGGTGAGTGTGTGCCCTGAGCTCTGACAGCCCACCCCCCCTGCCAGCCCCCTCGCTCCCCACAGCCTGGGCTGCGACTTCAGGTCTAAGGACGCGTGCTGAGGGTGGTACCTTGCTCGGTGGCCTGCTCCACCACCCATTCTCCCACTGGGTCCCGTCGCCCTTCATTTGGGCCTCTCGCTGTGGGCCCTCCCACCTGTGAGAGAGCAGAGATCCCCTCCTTAACACCCCCCCACACACACACACATACACACACACAGGCTCAGCTGCTGTCCAGGCCCTAGGGCGTGTCCCCTGTAAATAAACACGGCACCATCCGTCCTGTAGGGGGAGCTCCAGCGGGGCCGTGTCCCGCCTGCTCCCAGGTTTCTGAGTCCCCTCCGGAGGCTTCCGATCTGTCCCCCCAGAGCCCCCTTTCCAAAGCCAGGGAGGGGCACCGTCCCTCTTCCCCCATCTCTCCGCGTATCTCAGCGGAGATGGGCAGGATTTTTAGGAAACATGTTTGTATTGCTTTCAGAGAGGAAGGGAGAGGGAGAGGGAGAGAAACATCCATGGTGAGAGTGAGCCATCCATCCGCTGCCTCCTGCACGCCCCCCACACTGGGGATGGAGCCCGCAACCCGGGCTGGTTACGCAGGCGTGTGCCCTCTGTGTCACTTGCCACTCGGTGAGAAGTTTTAAGGTCAGTCCCCCGGGGCTAGGCCCTGTGACTCCCCTCCCTGACCCGGGGGACGGGGGGCGCGTTGGCTGCCGGGACCGTGACGCCAGAGGCCCCCCCCCCCTTCCCGCCTTGGCGCCCGCAGAGCAGCCTGGCCCAGTGGGGAGCGTCGGCGGCCTCGCAGGTGGTGATCCGGAGGCAGAGCGAGGTGCGGGTGCCCTGGCTACACAACCTGGCCGCCGCCGCCGCCCGCGCCCGCGAGGCGGAGCGCGATGACCAGACGGACAGCGAGGGGGACGAGGCCAAGGAGAAGGAGAAGGAGGAGGACTCCAACTCGGAGGCCGAGGAGCAGTTCAGCGAGGTGAGAGGGAGGGGCCCAGCCCCCAGGACCTCCACGCCCTTCTCGCACGGACCTCCCCCCCCCCCCCCCCCACAGCCCGTAGCACAGCCAGGGCAGAGATTGTCGTCCCCAATTGCAGATGAAGACAGGTTCAGAGAGGGCAAGCGACCTGCCCGAGGCCACACAGCACCAGAGCCAGGGGGCCGCGTCCCTTCCCCTCTAGGCCTGGGGTCGGGGGAGGGGAAGGGCCAGGGACGCCACAGGAGGCCCTGACCGAGCCCCGGTCCCCAGGCAGCAGCCCCGCCCCGCCCACAGGGCCTGCTGGGCACCGCGGTGCACACCCTGCAGAAGGCCGTGCAGGGCACCATCTCGGCCGTGCTGTGGGCGCCCGCCGCCGTGCTGGGCACGGCAGGGAGGATGCTGCGCCTCACGTCGGCCCCCGACGTCGCCCCGGCCAAGGCCAAGAGCAGGGCCATGTCGCTGTCGGACGCCCTGAAGGGGGTCACGGACAACGTGGTGGACACGGTGGTGCACTACGTGCCGGTGAGTCCCACCCGCTGGTCCTGCTGCCCTTGGGGCCCGGGCAACAGGCTGACCTACAGCGGCCCTGACTGAGGCCCTTCCCAGCCCTGGGAATAGAGGGACCTCCTCCCAGTCAGAATGGGGGTCCCCGTGGCCTGGCCCTCACCCCTCAGCGCCCACCTGCAGGACCTGGGGTCACTCGGGCAGTCACCTCGTGGCAGGGCTCTTGGCAGCCAGCCAGGCTGCCCTGGGCCAAGATCGGAACCAGGCAGGGATCGCTGACCTTGGCTGGGCAGTGTGTGGGCCCCAGGGTGGGTCAGGAGAGCCACTGGCCTCCCACTGAGAGACCCCAGAGGAGGAACCGGGGTCTAAAAACTGCAGGAAGGTCTGCCTTGCCTTGGTGCAGTGCCCCCCACCCCCCTGCACCGCAGGCCCCTCCCCCCCCCAGCCTGTGCCCTGCTGCTGGCTGCTCCTGGGTGATGGGGGGACCTCCGGGGTGGGCAAGAGGCTCCAGGCGAGACCAAACCGACACCAAACCGGGCCCTGAGGCGGCTGCCTGGTCTCAGCTCCCCAGGTTGTCCCTGATGGAGCCCGAGAGCGAATTCCGGGAAATCGAGGAGCTGAAGCGCAGGGCATCGGCCGCGCCCACCTGCTCGGAGCCCTCGCAGCGCCCGGCCCAGCACCGGGGCAGCCTGCGCAGCGCCAGGGGGCCGGGCCTGGAGGACAGGGGGGACCTGCCCACGGCGATGAGCTCCACGTTCCCGGCCGTGCCCCGCGAGAAGGCGCGCAGGGTCAGTGACAGCTTCTTCCGGCCCAGCCACATGGAGCCCATCCTGGGCCGCGCGCAGTACAACCAGCTGCGCAAGAAGAGCTGAGCGCCCGGCCCGCCCTCCGCCGCCGGGCACCCGGACCCCGCACCCCATCTTTTGAGCATCCTTTGGGGGGCTTAGTCTGCAGCCAATTTAAAAAATATATATATTTTATTGATTTTTCACAGAGAGGAAGAGAGAGATAGAGAGTTAGAAACATCGATGAGAGAGAATCATTCATCAGCTGCCTCTTACACACCCCCTACTGGGGATGTGCCCGCAACCAAGGTACATGCCCTTGCCCGGAATTAAACCCCAGACACTTCAGTCCGCAGGCCGACGCTTTATCCACTGAGCCAAACCGGTCCCGGCTGCAGCCAATTTTTAAGAAAGATCAGAGCAGCCACCTGCTTTGATTCTGTCCCTTTTGTTTTGGTTAATCCCCACCTGAGGATATTTTCCCACTGAGTTTTAGAGAGAGGGGAAGAGAGAGGGAGAGGCAGAGAGAAACATCAATGAGAGAGAAACACGTGGGTCGGTTGCCTCCTGCAGGCACCCTGATGGAGGCTGGGGCCGGGGAGGAGCCTGCAACCAAAATAAATGCCCTTGACCGGAATCGAACCCGGGACCCTTTGGTCCACAGGCCGACGCTCTACCCACGGAGCGAACCGGCTCGGGCCTGTCTTGTTTTCTCCCTAAAAGACGAATTGCCTCGCTTGATGGCTCACTCTTTAAGCCGACTTGCAGCCAAATGGCCTTAGACTGCTCCCAAGATTCACACGCATCCTCTGGAGGCAAATATTTTGCCACCAGTGAGTTGCATGCTGCTACCCCGCCCCTCCAGCCAGCGGGAGTCCTGGGCACAGTCTTATGCCCAGAGATCCCTGCGTGTGAGCCTCCGGGCCAGGCGCACAAGCTCTCGTGTGTGTATGAAATACCAGCGTCGTCTCACAGACTGGGCCCGGCCGTGCTCGTAGCGTCACCTTCGGGCTCAAAACACATCCCTGTGCACCCTTCCCGCCTGGCCTGCACATGCGCATTCATTTCACCCTGCCCGTCCCCTTTGGGCGCCTGGCCCCCCGGCGTGTGGGGACCACAGCCGTGACCCCTCACTTAGAAAGTCTGCACGATGAGAGCATCCCAAGTTTTGAAAATGTTAATATCTGGTAAATCTAAGAAGTGCATACATATAACTTAAAATTCAAACACTGCAAGAGGGTGCGTGTCTCCCTCACCTTGAGGGCCCGGGTTCCCCCTTACAGAGACAGCCTCGGTGCCAGCCTCCTGTGTCTGTCCAGCTGCCAGCTGTGCGTGTGCGGGCACGTGTGTGTGTATGTACTTCCCACGCGTCCCCCAGGTGTGGGATGCTGTACCTGCCTCTCCCCGCCTCACGGTTCCCCTCAGACATCGGAAGTCCCCCTCGGCTCCTTTCAACGGCCACATAGTAAGCACCTCATGTCATTGATGTAACCCGTTCTGTAATGAAGGGCTTTGAGGTTGTTGCCATTGTTTTTTTTTTTGTTTTTTTTTTTTGTTTTGCTACTGCAGACAGTATCGCAATAAATGTCCTTATACAGCATGTCTGTGTACACGTGTGGGCATACCTACAGGGTGAACTTATCACTTGGAACCGTGATTTGATGGGCAAAAGGGTATCTATGTTGTTATTGTTGTTTTATACACACACACACACACACACACACACACAGAAGTGCGCCCCCAGCCCAACCCTGAAAGTCATGGGGGATGAATCCCTCTCAGCCTTAGAAGGGTCGTGAAATCAGAGGAGAAAAGGGGTGGAGGCTCCCGGGGCCTGGGGTGGGAGAGCCTTGCTGGGCCTTGCGGGGCGTGGGGCGCGCAGAGAGGGGGGATGCGGTGGTGGGAGAAGGGAAGGTCTCCACCTGAATCCCCGAACGAAGCTGGAGATCCACCTGAATCCGCCCTCCATCGCGGAGGGGAAAGGCCCTTGTTAACTTTTGTCATCTGTTACACTGGCCATCGGGGAGCGAGAGGGGGCCGCCCGCGGGCAGCAGGGTTCTCCGCCTGCGAGAACCAGGGCGGCTTTGGGGGTCGCTGTGTCCCCCAAGAATGTGATGAGTCTGCACTGGAATCAGGGTTCAAGGCCTGCGACCCCCAGGCGGTGTCTGGGTACCAGGGACACGCGGGCCCGCCCCCAGGCATGGCCACGCCCCTCGATGCCCCGCCCACTCGCCACCCTCGCGCCGCCGCCCCGCCCACTCCCCAACTTCTTGGGTTAACGCCCCGCCCACTTCCCCGCCCCTCTCGCCGTAGCCCCGCACAGCCCAACTTCTCGTGTTGTCTCCCCGCCCCTCGCGCCGTCGCCCCGCCCAATCACCGCCTAATCATCGCCCCTCGCGCCGTCGCCCCGCGCACTCACCGCCCAATCATCGCCCCTCGCGCCGTCGCCCCGCCCAATCATCGCCCCTCGCGCCGTTGCCCCGCCCAATCACCGCCCCTCGCGCCGTCGCCCCGCCCCCCGCCTCGCCTGCGGACAGACTTGGCGGCGCCGCCCCGCTCGTGTTTCTGCCCCCACGAGCCCGGCGGGCGGGCGGGCGGGCGGGCGGGGTTGCGGGGCGAAGGCGGGCTTCTTCAGGGGCGGGGGTCGTGGTGACGGCATCAGAGCGCGCGGCGTCTGGGCTCGGCGGCTGCTGCGGGGCCGGGCTGCGCTGCACCCCCGCAGGTGAGTGGGGGCCGCGAGGGGGTGCGAGGCGAGGACCGGGCGCCCCGCGGGGGAGCCGCCCCCTGGGGAGCCCATCCCGCTCACCAGCCTCCCGGGGGCTCCTCCCGGGGCGCGGCCCCCCTTCCTTAAGGCCGGGCCGGATGGAGGCTGACATCCCGGGCTTGGCCGCGGGGGGAGAGCGGGGAGCGCCGGGCGGCGAGGGTCGCCTGTGCATAGGTGACCACTTTCCAGAACTTTCCGGGCCCCGACCCCCTGCGCGCTCCCGCCCGCGGTTCGGGGAGCCTTTGGGACGGGGAGAGGCGGGACCGCCAGGGGCTGGAAAGTTCAGGGGGAGCCGGACGGCACCGCTGTGTCCCCAGCGCCGGACACCCCGCGGGGCCGAATGGTTTTCGGGAACAAAACCCGTTACCGGCGCTGAGAGAAGTGAATTATAGGCGCGCCCACCCCCCAGGATGCACCCCACGCCTGGATGGGTGCACCCCACGCCTGGATGGGTGCACCCCACGCCTGGATGGGTGCACCCCACGCCTGGATGGGTGCACCCCACGCCTGGATGGGTGCACCCCACGCCTGGATGGGTGTGCAGGTCCCGGGCCCTGGTCGGGGCTCGGGCAGGAGACAACCCATGGATGTGTCTCTCTCACATCGATGTTTCTCTCTCTCTGTCTCTCCCGTCCACTCTCTCAAAATCCATGGGAAAATATCTTCCGGGGGAGGATGGACAAAAAAAATAAATAAGATAAAATAAAAATAAATAAATAAAACCAGGCACAGGAGGAAATGGTTCCATCAGGAGGCGAGGGACTGTTTCACAGCTAACTTAAAAAAAAAAAAAAGTGGAAACGGTATGCTTTAAAATAACGGTGAGCCGAAACCGGTTTGGCTCAGTGGATAGAGGACTGAAAGGTCCCAGGTTCGATTCCGGACAAGGGCATGTACCCCAGTACATTTTCTCGCCCAAACCGGTGTGCCTCAGTGGGTAGAGCGTCAGCCTGCGGACTGAAGGGTCCCAGGTTCGATTCTGGTCAAGGGCATGTACCTTGGTTGCGGGCACATCCCCAGTGGGGGATGTGCAAGAGGCAGCTGATCAATGATTCTCTCTCATCGATGTTTCTGGCTCTCTATCCCTCTCCCTTCCTCTCTGTAAAAAGTCAATACAATATATATTTAAAATAACGGTGAGAAGTGTAGCTAGGAAATGAGTTGATCGGGGCCGCGGATGGTGTGTTCTGTGTGCCTGTCTGTCTGCCCGGCAGCATAATAGGTTTCTCCCTCCCCCCCACCCCCCCAACATCACAGCCCGGGAGCACTGCCTGCAGAGAAGTTGCTGTGGTCGTGGCTGGTGGAAGGTCTTCCTTCAATTTGTAAAAAAAAGAAAGAAAAAGAAACACCTGTGAGTGCACTACAACAAAGCCCAATAAAGGAGGCAAACCTGTGGTCCATAAAGTTTGTCGGGGCCAGGCGGGAATGGGGGAGGGACTGGGGAGGGAGGAGGAAGATGGGGCGCTCCCTGGGGAAATGTCCTGCATCACCATCGGGCAGCAGGCAGGGGACAGGGGTCCCTGCCCCCCAGCTCCCAGCCTGGAGGAGCGGGGAGACAGGGCTGAGGGCAGTGGCTGGGTGGGGTGTGTGTGGAGAGGTGCAGTACTGAGGATGCTGGGGTATTTTATGGAAGAGCCACACTCCAGGGGCCAAAGAGCCGCAGTTTGCCGACCACAGGGCTAGGGCAAGAGTTTGCATTTTTGAAAGATGGCCCAGTTGCCCTCTGGGAGGAGCAGGGACAGGCCCCGAGAGGCTGGGAAGTTTTTTGATGGAGTCTTTCGGGGGTTTTTATGCATCATATCATGTCATGGTACAATACGTGTCAGGCCACCAGTGGCCGGAACCAGACCTTTGGCACAGGCTGAGGAGACGCAGGGGAACCTGAGAAATACAGTCACGGCCCCCACGTTAGCTGTGGCTTCCACTTTCCACGATTTCAGCTGCCCATGGTTAACGGTGGGCTAAAGACATTGAATGGAAAATTCCGGAAATAATTCATAAGTTTTAATGTGTGCCGAGTAGTGTGATCGTGTATCTGGGTGCCCCTGTATTGGGGTGTATATGTTTATCAGTATTTCTTCTTGTTGGATTGCTCCCTTTAGTATTACTTATCTCTTGTTATGTCCTCTACTTTGAGATCTATTTTGTCAGATATAAGTATTGCTACCCCAGCTTTTTTTTTTTCATTTCCATTCACCTGGAAAACCTTTTTCCATCCCTTCACCCTCAGTCTGTGTGTGTATTTTTTTCTGAGGTGGGTGTCTTGTAGACAACAGATGTTTGGGTCTTGTTTTCTTATCCAATCTGTTACCCTATGTCTTTT